CCAATTATTTGAGTTTTGAATCAACATAGTTTCCTGAAGTGTATGTTATTCTTATATTATCTGTTAAATTACAGTAGTTCTCTTCCAAGAGTTAAAATGGGGGTTTATACTTTTCCAGTAAATACTTTACAGATAAAATTGTAAATGAATTTGAATATATTTTTGATGGGCATGCAACAATTTAATAAAGACTATTTTTAAAAGATTAATTTAATAAGCTGTGAAGATGGTAGATGATTCATAAACAAAATACAATAAAAGTTTGTCTTCTTGTTTCATTTTATTGGCATGCAGTATATTCTCTAACAAAATTATTATCTGAAGAAGTTTACGATTTTGTTCATTGAATAATCATAGTTGGATCCAGGATAGACTAAGGAGGAAGCTCTGTAACCTGGGTACATCTTTCCCAGTGAAATTAATTGTATTATTAGACAAACTGCTTCAGCAGCTGGCAAAACAGCAGGAACACGTCGATTCTGCTTCCTTGGTTACAGGGAATGATAGTGTACTTGACCTTCAGAGGAGCAGGGGTCATGGGGAGGGCATTTTTAAATAATTCTGTCATTTTATCACTGGATTCTTTATAAATGGAGTTCAGATACAACCTTTGGGAGTACAATAAAACTGATGTCTTCAGTTTTCTTCAATTGTTTTGCCCAAAGATCTTTGCTTGGGAAAAATGTAAATAAAACTGCAGAACGATTTGACACTGTAAGTATTGAAGTCTATAGTTTCAAGCTTGAAGCAAATAATTCTGATTATTATAGATTTAAGATTCTTCTTTAAATGAATATATAGAATATATAAGTAGTATTTGTTTATGCATTATTTTAGTAATTTTTTATTAAATGACATTTTACCATAATTTAAACTGGCAGTAGATTATTAATATTTTTACAAAATGAATGGATTTACAAATCAGGAATATTTTAAGTGTTTAGAAAAGGCTATTATTTTCATACAGTTTTAATCATAATTCTAAGTTATTGATATATTTTACTGCTTCATATCCTCTATATGGTAAGCAATATTCCTTAACACATAATGTTAATTCATACTTTGTAACTATTTTTATAACAGTCACAATAATTATTAACATTGTCTGATAAAATGCATTACTGTGTTTGATTCTGCATTATCGAAGTCAGATTATTACTGCATTCCTTAAGAAGAAGTCTAGTACTAAGCAAACTATGTGCTTTCCTATTTCAAAATTGTCTAATGCAAAATGTCTTTTCAAAATTAGTACTTTCTAAAACTACTATTGGCCATAGTGGCTGGGAATGATGAGTGTTTTTCTTAAAACAATCTGGACAGAAGCAGGTTGCCAAAAGGCTGTTTTAGACTAAGATATGTAAAGGTGAACTAGTAAGGAGAAAAATGTTTGTTATATTCATTGTATTAATGCATGCATATACACACATAATACAAAACTGTTTGAAATTAAAATTTAAAACTGTAAATCCATATATGTGCCTATTTTATTTCAAATGTCAATTGTTTAACAGAACTAGATATATATTATTGCTTGTGGCAAATAATTCTTCAATGGCACATCTGACATTTCTTGTACTTCGTGTCCATTTCCAAAATGCCATGCAATTTTCTGAATGAAAAGTATTTGTGCTTTTTTAACCATCTTCTGGAGGGGGGAGAAATCACTATTCCTCTATAAGTGGCATCTTGTATGATATATTTGTATCATTGGTCTGTTTCTTTTAATTAAAAATGTTGGCAATATAACAACAAGAACCAAGCTGAAAAGCTTCAAATAACTTATCTACCCTAAATATCTTAATCTTGTAAACTACCAAGAGTCACTGCAAAGCAGTGCACTGCAAAGATGGGCAGCAAATAAATAAACATATAAATAAATAACCTTATTTTGTATAAAAATATAGATTATAGTAGACAGTTTTTGGCTCATTCTGTGATGCTGCCCATCTATTTATAGCTATAGACTTAAAAACATTTTTAGATAGCATTTCATGGAGCATTTTTTGAGGTTGTTATTCATTGTATTTCTAGTTAAAATAAGTTAGAAAAAGGAACATATTTGTGTTTAAAATAAAAAGACTTTGGAACTGTGTACAGTACTACAAATAGTCATTGACTTATGACCATAATATAAGGCTAAGCCATAAGTCATAACAATCATAAAGTGGTTCACTCACATGACCCGATTTTATGACCTATTTTTATGGTAGCCATTAAAACAATGCAATTGGTATAAAGTCAACACTGTGGTTAAGTACGCTGATAATTTGTTACAGGACAGTTTTGCTGAAAACCGGAAGTAAATGCCAATTTCCAGCAAAACTCATCATGTGATTATGGGACACTGCATACTGCCGTAAATGTGGGCTGCCTGCTAAAGATCTGACATGATCATGTGGCCATGGGATGAGAGTCTTGGAACTTCAGAAGTTGCTCATAAATACCTTGGGGGACTCTGTCATAACTTCAGACTTAACTTGTGATTTGCTTTTTGGCCATAGTAACTTGTTTTACAATTGTTGTAATAAGTTATAAAATCAAATTGGTCATGTGCTATCTTGATTTATGAGTGCAACATCTTACAGCCAAAATTCCAGGCTGCATTGTGACTAATGTGTGTTAGTTATTTAGACTGCAACTTTTTTTATATCTAAATCAAGGTTGACTCAGCCTTCCAAAGTGGGTAAAACATGCTGACTTTGTAAACCGCTTAGACAGGCCTATAAAGCAAGTGATATTGCTATTGCTATATATAATTGATTTCTTTTTGACATTTATGTGAAAGGATACTAAAATGATTTATCTGAATATTTGAGTTCCATGTATTTATTTATTTTTGAAACACATGATACAATTTACTTCCAAAAATAATGTACTGTGTGACCCAGAAAGTTCCCGTTCCATTTGCTTGCTTGTATTGTAAAATGTATATATAACATTTGAATAAGATATTTTTTAGGCCTTCATGTGAACCTGAAAATAAATTTTGGTAGAATGTCAAGATTGACACATAATATCAAACAATGGACTCATCTTACTGCATGAACTTTAGGCTTTTTCTTTCTGTCTTGCATGTACTGCCTTATATTGTTATAGCAAATTGTTTCTTACCATGATACCTTAAGTAGATATAGATGCCACACTATTGAAATATAGCAATAAGTGTGTTAATCCCCAACTATTTCCATCTGAGTTGAACTATTAAATTGACCACATTTATCTATATAAAATAATGTTCCAAGTAATATTTTCTTTGGAATTCCTCCTTCCTACGATTCTAAGAGACAAGTTAGAAGGAAGGAGATTGATGACTAATGTCTCTTAACTTGCCATCTTCTTGGAAATGACAAATATAGTCAGTACTGTAAAATAAAAGGATATTTAAATTAAATAATTCTTATTTTCAAAATAAGAAAGAAAGAACTTATCAGTCTTCTGTAAGGCCTTAAAAACCTGGGCGTCATGATGTGGAGTCAGTACATTGGATAGATCTGACAGCCATCATTATTTATTTATCTTGTATCCTACCTTTATTATTTTTTGCAAATAACAGGGTGGCAAATATCCAACATACCTTCTTCCTATTTCCCCTTAACAACAACCCTGTGAAGTAGGTTGGGCCGAGAGAGTGACTGGCCCAAAGTCACCCAGCTGGTGTATGTAGCTAAGATGGGACTTGAACTTATGATCTCCTACTTTCCAGCCTGGTGCCTTCGATACTAGACCAAATTTGCTTTCTATATAAATAAATAAATAAATTGTTATCAAGACTTGTCCATAACCTGTATTTTACATGTTACACTATGTTTGGCAAACTGTTCTCTCATTCAAAATATTTATCAAACAGCCTTAGTCTGTCTCATAGGAGACCCTTTATCTTTATGTGTATACTGTATATGCTGATGGTGCAGTATACTTATAATGCATCCCTACAAGGTTGGTAAAATTAAGACACAGATTGTTGGCGGCAATATGCCAATAATATTGACATTGTAAACTGCCCAGAGAGGACTATAAAGCATTATGGGGTGGTAATGCTTTGCCATCCTCTTTGAAGAAAGACTTCAAAACGTTCCAACACAAGAATGATTTTACCTGTGCCCCTAGGAAATAGAAACAGTTACACAGGTCCTCTTGAAGTTTTTTTTTTTCAGGACATGACATATAGTCAACCAAGATCAGATAGATCACTTGCTTTCTTTTAGCTGACAGCTCAGTAAATATTTGTAGAAGGGTTACCAGATTTCTTATAATTGCTGTTGCTGTAAGACAGTTAATTATATAGCAATCTTGTTAATCTGTTTCCTCTAAGGTGATTTGTATTCCTTTTGGTTTGTTTGCTTGGTTTTAATGCTCTTTATTTGTTCTCCTGATTGCTTTAATACCTGTAGTATTTTAGTTTTATCTTCTGTTTTGTCTTCTGACTATAAACTTAATTTAAAAACAATTCTAATTTTAATAATTATTTAATTATCCATTTATCTTAGCTGTTGCATTGGGCTGTAATATAATGTACTTGATATTTTGGTCTCTTAATAGTTTACATTATTATCTTTAAAGAAGATTTCTTTTTAATCAATTCTATTTATATATTTTTAACTATCCTTGCCCTCACATCAAAAGATACAGGTAATTGAATCCCATTTCCTGAATTCCCTATGAAGAGAATGGTAATGCATGGAAAACAGTTTTATTAGTGCAATGTGTCTGAAGCTTTTCTTGATGGAAGGTTCTAGGAAAGGATGCAAAAAAAAAAAAGTCATGGATACCACATTCAGCATACCAGCTTCTCTTCTGAAGCCCTTAGAGAAGGCATTCTTTGGAATTTGGAGGAAAAATAAGTGCCTTATAACTTGGAGAATCTTGAACATGTACTTTGCTGTACAGTCCCCCAATCAAAAGATTTCAATTACTTAATAAAATGTTTATTAAATTATATAAAATTATATTCATTGTACTGTTTTGCCATGTATAAAGTCTTTTTTCATAAATCATTCTAGGTTCAAACTGTCCAGTCAACCTTATCTGAAACTCCAGTGATGACCAGCCCTTCCCAGCGCATCCAGATAATCTCCACAGACTCCACTGTATCGTCACCGCAGCGTATTCAGGTAGATATTTGTCTTCTAAATATAGTCTGTTTCATCTCTTTCTGCTTAATATGTAGCATCAAATTTTAGAGTATTATAATATTCTTTTTTCTTTTATGTAATTTATGTAATTTTATAGTCATTTAGTGACTGTACAAAGAGCAGATTTATTATGAGAAAGTGTTCTACTACTTGGGAGGTTTTATTTTATTATTGGAACTGTGTCTTTGTAAGCATCTCATGAGAGAACCTTCTTTCCTTTTTGTATGCACTGGTGGACAGTACATTTTTGAAGACAGTTTCTTGTTTCATTTTGAGTAATCATGTATATATTCAAAATAACCATTGATAGAATCTTTTCATTTTTAATATAGCACTTTTTTTCTTTTTTGCCTAAGCTGCATCCATCATTTGGTAACAGGAAACACAACATCCTTAAATAATGGCATATAATTCTTAAAAGTGAACTTAGTGTTGTTAAACTTATTTTTTTAATGTATTAAATTTATTCTCACATAATCATGTTTTTCTTTTTGTTATAGATTGTTACAGATCAGCAAACAGGGCAGAAAATTCAAATAGTGACAGCAGTGGATTCATCAGTATCCCCAAAGCAACAATTTATACTTGCTAGTCCAGATGGTACTGGAACAGGGAAAGTAATACTAGCTGCACCTGAGACTTCTAATACCAAGCAACTTATTTTTACTACCACAGATAATATTGTGCCAGGCAGAATACAGGTATATACCACAGTTAAAGAATAATACATATATTGGATATTCAGACTTAAGAGCATGCAGAAAGATGGCTTATACTTTAATTAGCATGTTTCTGTAGAATTTATATTCTAATCTCCACATCATATTGCTGAAATACTATCAGCTCAACAAAAATCAGATGATCTCAAAACAGAGGCGATGTGATTAAGGTTATATAGATCAACATTGTCATACTATGCAAACAAGGCAAGGGGCAATAGTTTTCATTGTTTTGAGGCACTTAGTAGATGGCTGCCATGTGTATGAATCACTATAACCGTATCATGCTATCAATTACCATGTAAACTTTTAAGCCTTTTCCTTGCTGGCTTGCTATACTGTGTTTTAAAATTATTTTTCCATATTTTTCCCCTTTCTGCATGTTCATTTTGCAGTTGAACAACTGTGGCACAGCTGTGTTTAAAAATTTGCAGTATCTTTTAAAATCAGTGTTATATAGAAATAATACTCCTTTTAAATGTTTCATTTTAGATTGTTACTGACTCTGCCTCTGTGGAACGTTTATTGGCTAAAACTGATGTCCAGCGGCCACAGGTAGTAGAGTACTGTGTTGTCTGTGGAGACAAAGCATCAGGTAAGATGCCAAGCTACTTGGTTGAAAAGACACATTTGCTTAAACACACACACAGTACTAATCTTTCACTGAAAGGCAGGTTTGTTGAAGATAAAAACAGAAGAAACTGTTTTGGTAGCAGTGGGGATTCTTCAAGAAAGTTTTTAAAAAGCCTGACTTAATGTCAATATTGTAATAGTGATATTGTTTATTTTCCATAGACTTCCTGGCCCCTATGTGCACATTGTACCCTTTAGTCACATATGCAGTGAGAATATCTTCCAGAGCTCCCAGGGGCAGCATCACAGAAATTGTGTTGCCTAACAATGGAATTTCATGGAGTGTTGAAGGAAGCAAAGTGGTACAACTAAAGAGAGAAGATCTAATTTTTGAAGTATTGGTTTGGCCTCAGAGCAAAAGAATAGAAGATAATGTCCAGGAGATTTTAGACTGACTCAATCAAATGTTTAATACTTTTGGTTCCATGGAAAATTCATTTGATTTTTTTAAAAATGGACTTAAGTTCAAAGGAAGTAAGGTGAAGAGCACAAGACTCACAGTGATTTTGGCTCTGCTCAAAATAGGACAAAAAAGGATCACTAGACAATGAATACAACAAATGTTCTGAAGAACAAATAGAAGCTTTCATTCATTTTTGTCTTTTTGACTGAACTTTCAGTTGGTTGACTCACTCTAATAAAAACGAGGTAGGGGATTTTCAAATCAAGATGAGGCTATGAATGGTACCAGTGTAATGCTTCAATGTACTAATTTATTGGGTGCAGATTTCTTCAGAAGGTGAATGCTAACTATCTAGATTTTGAATTGGTCAGAATAATTTTAATTCCTTCTGCTTGAGTCATAGCTCTTCAGTTATTTTCCAGAACAAAAGAAACTTGAGAATACTAGGGTAATACTAGTTCAATAAGTATTTATTTTTAAAAAGTTATACTTGTCAGTGAGCATTTTTTGAAGGAATAGGCAAAGAGCACTGACTTAATTCTTTAAAGCTTCATGGTCAAGAATGAGAAATATTCAGAACTTTTTTCTCCCCATCCCCTATAAACTGTCTGAGTAAAGTTTGTCAAATTTTGCCTTATCATAAACCCTAAAATAATAAATAAATTTGTATGTTGATAAATTTGGACAAGAAATAAATAGTACTTTGAATAATTAAATTATACTCTGTATATCAAATGGAACATTTATACAACAATACAACTTTATAGAATACAACCTTTTATTTAGGACTGAACAATAAAGCAATCATATTTTAAACTATTTATATAATGGTTAGGTTAAGCTCAGAGGTGGTAATTCAGCAGGTTCTGACTAGTTCTGGAGAACTGGTAGCGGAAATTTTGAGTAGTTCGGAAAACCAGCAAATACCACCTCTGACTGGAGATTTTACAGTATCCTTCCCCTGGCACACCCACCAAGCCAAGTCCACAGAACCGGTAGTAACAAATGTGAATCCCACCACTGGTTAAGCTTGTTTACTTTTATATAATTATTGAAATATGGACAACACTATTTTTGAGATAGCCACTATTATTTTTGCATATTTATTTTGTATTCGTATTGTTATTAATAGTAATTACAGGTAGTCTTTGACTTACAACCACAATTAAGCCCAAAATTTCCATTGCTAAGATGGTTATTAAGTGAGTTTTGTCCCATTTTACAACTTTTCTTGTCACGGTTGTTAAGTGAATCACTGCAGTTGTTAAGTTAGTAACACAATTGTGAATCTGGCTTCTGCATTGACTTTGCTTCTCTGAAGGTCGCAATAGGTGATTGTGTGACCCCGGGACACTGCAGCCATCATAAATACATGCCAGTGGCCAAGTGTCCAGATTTTAATCCCGTGACCATGGGGATGCTGTAACGGTCGTAAGTGTGAAAAACAGTCATGTCACTTTTTTCAGTGCTGTTGCAACTTCAAACAGTCATTCAATGAATGGGTGTACATTGAAGATTACCTGTCTGCATAATTATTTCTTTGCTTCAGCTTTTCAAGGCAAAATTGGAGCATATTTTGCAAGAATCAACTTTGCAGGTACAAACCATTACACCTGCACAACCAAATCTGGAGCCGTATCAGAATATGCTCCAGACAGGAATAAGTTCTGACAAGATTCTAGTTCTGTTTTCACAAGACTCATAACGTCACAATGGAGTACTGAACAATAAATGTAGTTTAGAGTTAACTGTTGGGTTCTTACTGTTTTCTGAATTTGGTTGTTTTCCTTGCAGATATTTGATTACCAAACTAGGTAACTAACAATCATTATGCGGGACAAACATGTAGAAAATTGGTAGAACCCATTGTGTCATGGTGAAAGATCCTTCATTTCTCAACAAATCCAATCACAATTTCAATTGGGAAACTTGATATTTGAGATTGTTAAATCCAAAGATGCCAGGGATTTCTTGGGTACTTGACACATTGACAAATCAACCATCAAAAAGCAGAAATAAACTGTATTTACATACAGATATCCTCAACTTACAACCTGCCACTTAGTGACTTTTTAAAGTTACAACAGGCTCCCCTAAAAGGACCCATTTCTGATGAATGCTCCCCTGCTGTCACATGATCATATGTTGGGCGCTCAGCAACTGGTCTGTATTTACAGCCATTTGCAGAATACTGCAAATGATTGAATTTTTTATTCATTTATTAATTTACATTTCATATTTATAAACCGCCCATGTCCCTCAAACAGGGACATCAGGCGGCATAAAATAAAACATTAAAATATAAAACTATATGAAAATTACAATGTTAAGGTTTTAAAATTAAAAATTATAAACATTTTTAAGGAGGCATGAATAATTACATCCTGTTAAAAATTAGTTGACAAAGGTAAAGAGAGGTTTCTCGTTATACCAACCAATCCCATGACTGTGTTCTCCTTTGAGCTCCCCACACCAGGGCAAGAGCCATGTTTTAATTCTTTTTGGGAAGGCCAGGAGAGAGGGCCCGCTTCACCTCTGGGATAAGAATATTCCAAAGGGCGGGGACAATGGCAGAGAAGACTCTCTTCCTGTCAGTGGGAGTTCTTTAACTGATAGGATCTACAACATATCTTCCCTTTCCGATTGGGTGGTACAGGCGAATGTGATGGGACAGAGCTGGTTCCATAAGTAGCCTGGCTCCGTGCCATTTTTGCTGAAAACTCTGCACTTACTTCTGGTTTCCAACAAAAAACGACCATGGCAGTTACTTAGCAACTGACTCAAAAAAAAAACCTCATAAAAATAGTTCCAGTCACATACTGGCCCACTTTATGTATACAGTCATAAATTGAGTTACAAAGTTAAATTGAGGATGTTTGTAACAGTTCAATTTAAAAGATATAATCAAGAAATCCCCCCTAAAGTAGGAAATAGCACCAGATAAGCAATCAAGAAAGAAACAGTACCCTAATTAAGGAACCATGAAGGAAGAAGCCACACCTCTATCTCAACTGGCAGGCAGCGTGTCTGCATGTTTTGCTTTAAGTGACAGCATTAACATAACTTTGGCTGATGGCTCTGTTAAAGATTTATAGTTTTTATATCTTGACTTTACATCATTCTGAGTTATTCACCATTCTGAGTGCTTTCATGGCAACAAACAGATAAGGTGTATGAATGAATGAATGTCATATAGATAATTATCAAGTTACGACTATTCTTTCAGTTATTATTAAAAGTTATGCTGACGTTGAATGAAAGGACTTATAACCTCAAAGTTCCACCCACTGCAGTGTCCCCACAATCATGTTAACAGAACCTTTCTTTCCCAGCTTCCCTGCGCTTACACTGCGTTATAGCACATCCCCAACTCATGGGCAGCCTATGCTCAGCCCCGCCCCCTTCTTCTACTTCCTGTTTATTAAAGGGAGGTGGAATTATGTTAGAGTTATGATAACATCTGGGACTACTTGAATTGCTGTTGCTAAGTGATAGGGTGTTATCATATCACTCTTTACAACTATCATTTAGTTACCACAATCCGAGCCCCAGTTGCCATTGTAACTGAAAGACTGACTATACGTGGCTTCTAACTGGCATATAAAGCAAATATGTCTTAGTTTAATTACTGCACTAATATAAAACAGTGCTACTATGATGTGGAACCTAAAAAACTCCAGGAAAGCCCTTTGATTTACAAAAATTAAATTTCATAAAAATGATAAGGTTAAAAGCAAACTGACAGAATCATTGAACAGTGAGTATTGCATAAATAAAAATTGTTTTAAAATGTACTTTTTTATTGTAATCATAGTTTCTTAGATTTCCCCCCTCTTTTTTAAGGTCGTCATTATGGTGCTGTCAGTTGTGAAGGATGCAAAGGCTTTTTTAAAAGAAGTGTGAGAAAAAATCTGACATATAGTTGCCGTAGCAACCAGGACTGTATCATCAATAAACACCACAGGAATCGTTGCCAGTTTTGTCGGCTCAAAAAATGCCTTGAGATGGGAATGAAAATGGAATGTGAGTCTACAGTCCATAACATGTTTCTTTTCTATCAAAAAATAAAGGGTAGGAGTTTGGTAATTTCTATGATTAAAATTATTTCTACTATTTGATATACTGTTTGCATAGTCCCAGTCAAACTCTGTTTGACCCTAAGCTTTGGCTGAGCTTTACATTTAAATCTTCAAATGTTCAGAGGTTTGTGCTGTAAATGAAACAGTAAAAAACATATAAAGAATGGTTGCTGGAACTGGGTATGTCTAGTCTCATGAAAAGAAGGACTAGGGGTGACATGATAGCAGTGTTCCAATATCTCAGAGGCTGCCACAAAGAAGAGGTAATCAAGCTATTCTCCTACCTGAGGGCAGGACTAGAAGCAATGGGTGAAAACTAATCAAGGAGAGAAGCAACTTAGAACTAAGGAGACATTTCCCGACAGAACAATTAATCAGTGGAACAACTTGCCTCCAGAAGTTCTGAATTCTCCAACACTGGAAGTTTTTAAGAAGAGATTGGACAACCATTTGTCTGAAGTGAAGGGTTTCCTGCCTAACCAGGGGGTTGGACTAAAAGACCTCCAACTCTATTCTGGCCTTCTAACTCTATTCTATTTCCAAAATGTTTCAATTGGTATATTGATTGATGGAAATGTGATGCTATTCAAAATCAAAATGATTATTCTGATTTGGGAGAGTTTATATCTTGAACGTGGTAGTGTATTTAAAAAAAGATTAATGGACAAGCTGAAAGGATCAATTCTGATAGCAGAACTGGGGAATGTATGTGCAGTACAGGGTAAAATAGAGAGTCTCTAGTGTTAAGTAAATCACTAACATCTTGGTTGTTCAGATCAAGAGCAAAGACAGGATGTGCAATGTCTGACTGGTGCTAAGAAAGTCCATTTGTTTTTGGAAAAGCATCTCTGAAACAACCATGACCTGGATGGTTGAGAATCTCCATAAGACATAAACCCAAATTTGAAGTTTCAGGAGTTCCCTCTACCACACACTTCAGGCACTCGGTAACGGCCACATTTACAGTTGTCTGCAGTGTCCCATGGTCATGTGAATGTGTTTTACAACAGTTTTGCTGAAAACCAGCATTTACTTCCAGTCTTTTTGCAAAACTGTGCCCATAGCAAATCATTGGTTTGCTTAACAACTGCAGATTCATTTCATAACCACAGTGATTCACTTTACAACTGCTGCAAAAAACATCATAAAATTGGACTGGTAATGTAACTGACCATTTTCCGACCATCACAAATTACAACTGGGACTACTTGTATTTTTGTCAGTTTCAGCTTACTTTACTATAAATTGGGATTCCCTGGAAAAATGCTGAGTCACCAATACTTTGGTTGTTTCTATATGTCCTTTGAATTTAACTATATTTCATAAATGTCTAGTGTGATACACTGTTCAAGTTGATTCACAATGGTTCACTAGTTAACTGATATTGATCTTAACATTGATACAAGATTACACTTAATATCATTACTAATTGTTTTAGGATTTCCCCCCTGCATTTAAAATGTTGTATTTGTGCTTTATTGCATTCTGAGACTACAAATACATTTCTATTTTTGTTGTTATTATTTTTTTATTTATTCATTTTTTTCTTGGTTGTGTTTTTAAATATATGTCAAAATCAAATTAAAAAGTTCTAAAAAGCTTAGTGTCATTAGTATAATTATAGAAAACATCCCCAGACAATATAATCCTATGTATCAGAACTACAGGATGAAATAGAGTCAGTATAGACCACACCTTTGGTTAAAATGAAGTTTAAATGTGAATTAATGCTTTTAAGAATCTATGTGTGGCAGAGATTTAAACCTGTGTATTTTTTGTGTTGTGATGTAGCTGTACAGAGTGAAAGGAAGCCTTTTGATGTACAACGTGAGAAGCCAACCAACTGTGCTGCTTCAACAGAAAAAATATATATTAGAAAGGATTTAAGAAGTCCTCTGATAGCAACCCCAACATTTGTTGCAGATAAAGATGGGGCTAGGTAAGTAATGAATGTATCTTTAAAGCCCTTTTAGAGTTAAATATTTAAGTTGTGGAAACATATCAATATTTTTAAGGAAATTACTAAATTAAATAGAAACTAGTTTTATTTCTTTATAAATTGAAACACTATTTTTATTTTACTTATTAATTTTACCCAACATTAAAACATAGGATAACAAATAATAAGTGAAAGAAACAAAAAAAATATTAATCTATGAGAAAGATGTCATTTTCATATACTCTTTTCATTTATTTTAGAACTATTTTCTTATGTGTATAGGTATAGTATATCCTTGAAATAAGACCATCCACAGATATGTAGACTCTCAAAATTTTCATATCTTATGGCTATCATTTATTAGGAAGCTAGGTTTCATCTGGGTGCCTGGTGGGGGTGTGTTTGAGCTGGAGGTATCAGGGGGAGTCTGTTTGTGCCCAGGTGTTTGCCTGGCTTGTGGTGTGGAGATTTTTTTGTTTGAGAGTGCAGGCTTCCAAATGATTGACAGCCTGGTGGAATCATCTCTTCTATTCATGCTTTCAGGTCTTTTTTCAATCTCTATGGCTTCTCTGATAATTCTGTAGCTGGGGTTTTCTATAGTGGCTAGGGTTTTGGTGCCATTGAAGTCGATGCTATGACCTGTGGCTTCCATGTGTTGGACTAGTGAGGAAGTGTGTTCCAGCTTTTTGACTGCATTTTTGTGTTCATCCAGGCGGGTGCTTATTCTTCTATTGGTCTGTCCAATGTATGTGGCCGGGCATGATGCACAGGGGACTTCGTGTATGCCTTGGTTTTCCAGGTCAATTTTATCTTTGGGGTTGCTAAGGATGGCTGCTATTTTTCTGTCTGTTTTGAAGGCAGTCCTGATGTGATGCCTGTGTAGTATCTTACTGATTTTGTCTGTAGTACCTCTTATGTAGGGCAGAACAGCTGTTCCATAGGTCTGTTCATCTTCTAGGTCTCCATTATGTTTCAGTGTATTTTTGTGGATCAGGCCTGTGATTTTGCTTTTGTGGAAGCCGTTGGCTGTCAGTACTTTGGTCAGGGTGCATAGTTCAGTCTTTATGTGTGTCTTGTCTGCCAGGCGTTTGGTTCTGCCAATTAGTGTTTTGGCCACGGAGTTTATCTGTGCTGGGTGGTGGTGGGATTGGGTGTTGAGGTAGCGATTGGTGGTGTGTTTTCTTCTGATATATGGTGTGTCCTAGTGTGCCATCTATTTTTTTGTAGATTAGTACATCTAGGAATGGTAGTTGTTTGTTTGTTTCCATTTCCATGGTGAATTTGATTTTTGGGTGTGTGCTGTTTAGGTGCGTTAGGAAATTGTTTATGTTTTCTTTTCCATGGGGCCAAATAACAAATGTGTCATCGATGTATCTTAGCCATAGTTTGGGTTTGTGGGTGGCATTGGCTAGAGCTCTGGATTCTAATTCTTCCATGAACAGGTTTGCAATGATGGGTGACAGTGGTGATCCCATAGGGGTTCCTTCAATTTGCTTGTATCTTTGTCCTTTGTGTATGAAATATGTGTTGGTTAAGCAGTGTTCTGCTAGTTCCATGAGGTGCTTGGGTGGTTGGTATTTATTTTTGATGATTTCTAGGGTTTCTTTTATCGGGACTTGAGTGAATAGTGAAACCACGTCGAAACTTACAAGAAGATCTTTTTGTTCCATGTGTAGATCTTTGATCATTTCCAAGAGGTGGTATGAGTTTTGTTCATGTGAAGCTGCTGCTTCAGCATGGGGCTGTAGCTGCTTTGCTAGGTATTTGGCTAGGTTTTGTAGTGGTGCTCCTCTGGAGCTGACTATGGTTCTGAGGAGTATGCCTTCTTTGGGTATTTTGGGGAGACCGTATAGTTTGGGGCATCTGGAAGATTTTTCTCTTAGGATGATCTTGGATCTCTTTGCTCATGTTGCTGGTTATGATTTTCTTCTTGGTTATTTTTTCCAGATATGTGGTTGGGTCTGTGTTTATGGGTTTGTATGTGGAGTCTTGGAGTAGGTCTGTCAATTTTGTTTCATAGTCTTTTCTATACATTACTACTGTGGCATTACCTTTATCTGCTAGAAGTATGATTATGCTGCTGTCGTTCCTTAGGGCTTGCAGGGCTTTTAGTTCCTCTTTGTGCAAGTTGCTTTTGGGTGGTTTGCTTGTGCATAGGATGTTAGTGACTTGGTGTCTTATTCTATCAGCTTCATCTGTATTTAATTTAGTTAGGCTGGATTCCACTCCACATATGATGGATTCTGTGGGGATTTTTTTGGGTGCTATAGCATAATTGAATCCTTTGATTCGGACATCTGTTTCTGTTTGGTGAGTTCTCTGTTGGAAACGTTATATACTAATTGTTTCAGGTGTTGTTGTGAGTTGTTGGGGGGTTTCTTGTCATGTTCTAATTTCTTTAGTTTCTTCAGGAGTTTGTCATTTTGTAAGTGGTTTCAGTTTCAGCTCTCCAAGTTGTAAGTTGTTTTATCTTGTCCCAAAGTAGAGGGTGAATTTTGTTGCTCAATTCCAGGTGTAGGGTTAGGGTTAGTCTTTGTTTAACTGGTCGAGTTGGAATCTCTTTCTGTAGAGCTCATTCCTGAGTAGAGCCATTTCAGTTCTTTTCAGGATACGTTTGGTAGCTGCTGTGCTGTGATGAAATGTTAATTTGAAGCTGGTTGGTGTTGCATTGTTGTCTCTGCAGCTGCGTAGGAATTTGAGGTCACATAATATTCCTGCTCTTTTAACTTCCAGCTTCTCATAGGTTTTGGTCTGGCTGTTTATTTCCTCCCCGTAGAGGTCTGATATTTGTTTTCTTAAGTTTTCACAGGTATCTATATGTATGGTATTCAGCTTTGTTCGGGTATTTTCCCACGTCATTATAGTTGTGCTTTTAAAGTTGTAGCAACATTTCGGCAGAATCTCATCTGCCATCATCAGGCTTCTGTATTGTGTTGCCAACCAATCAAGACACACAAAAAAAGCCACAAAACAGACAGAAGATATTAGAAACACCAATCAAGCAGAACACAGCAAACTCCAAGACCAATAAACACAGACCAAGACTCCCAACCAATCAGGATGAAGAAAAAACCATTCTGGCACAAGAGTAGGCTAGCCCCAAATTTAAAACTGAAACAACTGTAAAAGTCTAACTCACAGACGAACACAATACAGAAGCCTGATGATGGCAGATGAGATTCTGCCGAAACGTTGCTACAACTTTAAAAGCACAACTATAATGACGTGGCAAAATACCCAAACAAAGCTGAATACCAAACATACATACATACATACATACATACGTGTGTGTGTGTGTGTGTGTGTGTGTGTGTGTGTGTGTATGGATCTTTGGTTATTCGGGTTTTCTCCCATGTAATGAGACTTCATCGAAACGTTGCCTAGATACTTTGAATCTTACGCGGGAGAAAACCCGAATAACCAAAGATCCATATGCTTCAAGAGAAAAAAACACTGTATATACTCATAGATAAGCCCATCCAAACCCATTATTTTGGATGTATTTTGGCACCTAATATTCCGGCCTTATGTGCAAGTATATACAATGCAATATCTAAAGTATAAATCACTAGAGAGAGAGAGAGAAACCAGTTTTTTTTTGCTTTTTTTTTGTGAGAACCATGTTAAGACATGAACCTGAAATATATCTATCTACCTTGTGTAAAGTCAAGTTAGCCTATGATTTACACTCATAACTAAAACTGATCCGAAGTGTTTAAATCAACAATTAATAATGAAATGGGGTTGTATTAATCGTTTCATTGAGGAATTGCATGTGTTTAAAGAGTAGTAAAATAAAAAATTCCTTTCATTAAAAAATATCATATCTTTGACATTCTGAGTCAGAGATGGAGACAATAACACATTTATATATTTAAACAATTTATATATCTGCACATTCTATTGCTACAACTTTGGGTAGCAGACAATATATTAAAACCAAAACCAGCAGAACAATTCAAAATAATGGGGAAAACTACAACAACAATTGTATACCAGGTGCCAGAGATTCAAATAAATGATATAATCTTGCATTTGATAGTGAACAAATAAGCAACATATAGACCAATTAGCTGGGCTCATCTAACATTCCAGTCCAAATTCATGAGAAAACAACTACTGTAGCATCTTACAGAAGGCCAAGAAAGATTGGGAGTTTTCAAATACTTTTCAAGGGCAGTCCTCTGTAATGTGTATTGCAGATGGAAATGACTAGGGCATGAGTGACATTGACCAGAGGCTCTTGATCTAGGATCAGACGCAACTAATACATAAGACATAACTGCAAAAAGGTCCTCCTAGCCACAAATGTATGTGCTTTAAGCAGGAACCATGAGTCTAGGAGGATCCTCACATCAGATACATCTGGGGCAATGCCACTCCACCCACCAAAGATTGCATATTCCTAGAATTGTCAGACCCCAAAACCCAACCCCACTCAACCTTGCCAGGGTTGAACCGAAGCCTGTTGTTCCCCATCTAGACTCTTGACAGCCTCAGGCAGTGGGATAAGAAATTCATGGCAACATTTAATTCAAAAGGGCAGTTTTATATATATAATTGGATATCATCAGCACGTTGATTATACTGCACCCCATAGTAACAGAAGTGATTACCTAGTATCCTCAAATAGAGTTGAATAAGAACAGAGACAGCATTGAAGGCTGCAGCACCCCAATAATAAGGGCCAGGGGTGGAATCTTTCCTACCCAATCACTACCAACTGGAATTGAGCTGGAAAAAGGAGATGGACCAGCACAACACTATACTAAAGGCAGCAGAGCAATCAAATTGGGCAAGGATGAGTATATAACCTTCTTCCTGCCTTTGCCAGAGATCATGTGACCAGTGCTTTTTTTCATCTCTTTCCTGTGTCTGAATATCTATCAGAAGGCATCCAGATAATACGCTTCATCCGAGGTCCTCTGAAGCTGCTGCCCAACCACTTTCTCAATGATCTTCCCCAAATAGAGGAGGTTAGGTAGTCGATGAAAATTGTCCAGTATAGGTAGTTTTGTTTAACAACATGGTCACTTAAGAACTGTTCGAAGTCTCAATGGACTCATAAAAAGGTACTTTCAACCCATCCTCAAAGTTATGATCACTCATTTCCTCCAACTCCAATGGTCACATAAGTGCATTTTAGGCACTTGGCAGCTGACTGACATTAGCCCTTGTTGCACAGTCTCATGGTCATGTGACCACAATTTGTAACTTTTGCTATTCTCCAACAGAAAGCAGCAAAAGAAACACCCATTGGATATTGTAGATTCATTTAATGACCACATGATCTGTTTAACAATTGTAAATATGGTTGTAAAATCGAGTGAGGCCATATGACCTGTTTAACAACCATAATTACCACCAAAATTCCAGGCTCAATTTTGGTTATAAGTCAAGGACTGCCTGTATTATGAGGTCTTGAGAAGGGGGTAAAGCAAGGCCTCTTTAAAGGAATGAACCCCTTAGGGGAAAATTGACCATTGCTGGAACCCACTGACAAGAGTGCCCTGCAGGCTGCTTTAACAAGCCAAGAGGGATATGGATCTAAAGAGGGTGGATGTGACTGAGTTCACATCCAAAAGATCTGTCCCTGTTTTGCTAGAATTGTTTTCTTAATCCTTCTGCCAGTTCAATATAATTTTTGCAAAAGCAAAACCAGAAAGTATTTTAACCAACAATTTCAGAAATCCCAAAACTATGGATTGCAATGTTATTGTTAATGATGAAACAAAGGAATATTGTGGTCTTTATTAACATAATGTTGTTTTCCTTATCTTTATCCTCTTGAACAGATCAGCCAGTCTTCTGGATTCAGGGATGCTTGTAAATATTCAGCAGCCTTTAATACGGGATGATGGTACAGTGCTACTTGCTACAGATCCCAAGGTAGTCTTCCTTAAATTTAATTGCACGACTCATGTTTTCCTGCTTTTCCTCATTGCTATCTTATTGTACATGAAGAATTTATATATTAATAGATCATTTCTGCCGAGAAATATATTTGATATTCAGATCCTTGACTGATGTCATTTGGGATTAGAATTTCCATAGCTAAGCAATGTGGTCATAAAGCTTGACCACATTGTGTAGCAATGGCAATCTCTGCTATCCTGGTTGTTGTTAACCAAATCTCATGGCGATTAAGAGAGGCAACTTCCTGCTGGCTTCCCACAACCAACTCAGTGGGGAAGCCAGCAGGTAGTTTCAAGTCCCAAGTAGCTAGTTAGCAGCCCAGAGGCAGGCAGCAAGGCTTGGAGGGTTTATGAGAGGGCGAGGGAGGTATGGCAAGACTTGGGGAGAGTGCATAGAGATGTGTGAGGCTGCAAGGTGAAATTGCATACAGGTGCAGTGCAGGTCTGGAGAGGGTGTACACAGATGTATAAGTGGCTGGTAGAACATAAGGGTAGAGGGACTGGAAGATTTAGACCAGTGAATTGCACTGGTCCTGTTGGCTTCTCCACTGAATTTCTGGGTACATTGACAGGGAAAGTTGCCAACAATGACCGCATGATCATGGAGTGCTGCAACTGGTCATTAGTATGACTTGTTTGCCAAGATTGTAGTTATGTGGGTGCAGGGGTACTGGGACAGTGAGAACTCTGAGGACACTGGCCACTAAACAAAACAGTCGTAAGTTGAGCACTATTCGTTCAGACAATAGAATAGACTAGTCCTGAAAAATAGGTCTGGCTTTATAAACCTCCTGATATGTATTATATTATTTGGTTGATATTAATTACATTTCCTAGGCCTTTCATTATAATTTTATTCTCTTCTTTTTAATTTCTTTTGTATCTGTATTAGGAAACAGGCACAGATTATATTTAAAGAAACTCAATCATTTAATGCAGTGTTACTTTTTTTTTTTTAGGCTGAAACAAGCCAAGGTGCTTTGGGAACATTAGCAAATGTTGTAACATCACTTGCCAGCCTTAACGAATCTCTTAATAATGGAGATACTTCAGAAATTCCACAAGAAGACCAATCTGCAAGTGAGATTACTAGGTGTGTGCTTCATATTAGAAACTTTTCTAATTGGTCTCTCTGACTATAAAAGTATTTTTTAATTGATGAAACTAAAATAATTAATAATAAATATTGCCCTGTATTTGAAATTCATTCTCATGTTAAACTTAAGAATCAAGCTAACTAATATTTCTTAGCGAAGTTGAATATTGAAAAGTAGTTAAGAAAAACAGTACAAAAACGAAGTGTTGATTGTATGCTATGTAAAAAACAATTTGCCTTCTGGAATTATAATTTCACTTCTTTTTAAATCATCGGCAGCTGATTTTGGTATCCTTGTGCAAAATGTATCTGAATTTATGATACACATAAGTGTACTTATAGTATTGCAATGTCAAAGAATCCTGTTCACATTTGAATCTATTTCATGTCATTATTTTGCACTCCCTTTTCATTTATCCCCATCAAATAATCATTAAAGTATTTTTATGTGCTTGAAAACCCTGGCAATTTTCCTAAAGCTGCAAATAAATTCCTGTTTGGGGGTTGATGTTATTGATTGATGGACAAGATTTCAGTAGTTTTATGTTATTTCTCACTGATAAATGTAATATAAAAAGCATGTATGATATATATGTATGATATATTACTTTTATTTGCAGGGCATTTGATACTTTGGCTAAAGCACTTAACACTACAGATGGTGCCACAGCACAGAATCTAGCCGATGGGATGGATCCTGCGGGTGGTGGAAATATTCATGTCATTAGTAGGGATCAGTCCACTCCGATTATTGAAGTTGAAGGACCTCTCCTTACAGATACTCATGTGACATTTAAGGTCTGGCCTTGGGTTGGTTTATCATTAACTACTTCCTTGTAAAAATGAGTTCTCACAATGTATTAAATCAAATCACATTACATTCTTAACTTACTGGCTGAAAGCGATCAGTGTTTGCTTATTAAAAGGATAAAATACTACTACCAAATGCTACCATTCTGTAATTTTTTTGAAAAAAATGTTCTCTCTGTATAGGTACTGCATTTTAAACTTTTCTGATGTTGAACCATTATATTTAATTACAGGTGGTATTTGACTTACAACCACAATTAAACCCCAAAGTTCTTTTGCTAAGCGAGACATTTGTTAAGTGAATTTTGCCCCATTTTACAACTTTTCTTGCCACAATTGTTAAATGAATCCCTGCAATTGTTAAGTTAGTAGCACAGTTGTTAAATGAATCTGGCTTCCCCATTGACTTTGCTTGTCAGAAGGTCAAAAAAGGTGATCAATGATCTGGGACACTGCAACCGTCATAAAAATGAGTCAATTGCCAAGTGTCTGAATTTTGGTCATAAGAAATGGGGTTACTGCAATGGTCATAAGTGTGAAAACGGTTTAGGTCCGTTGGGACCGACCAGGGGCGAAGATCTCAGCTGTAATTTCAGAGCCCCGAAATTACAGCTGTAGCGCGGCGACGTGGCTCCGCCTTCCCCCGTTATTTAAATTTTTTAATAATACATGGTAAGGGTTTTTTCAACTACCATTAGAGTGAAAAACATTTTTTTTAATTATCAAAAATATTGATAAAACTATGTGAATGTTTAAAGAGATGTTCATTCAGTATAAAAGAATGTGGGTTTTTTTTAGTCTATATTGATTAATACATCAGTGTTTTTTTTAAAAAAATTATTTGTAATAAACTTTGTGTTGTTCTCTTGCAGTTAACCATGCCTAGCCCAATGCCAGAGTATCTGAATGTGCATTACATATGTGAGTCTGCATCACGATTACTTTTTCTTTCCATGCATTGGGCCAGATCCATTCCTGCTTTTCAGGCACTAGGGTAAGAATGTGCTGTCTTTCTCCATTGATAAATAGACATTGAATGGAATCCACAATATTTAATGATTCTCAAAAATAAAAGTATTCCATTTGCTGTATTAAATGCTGTACCCCAAAATGTCCACTGCTAAGCAAGGCAGTTGTTAAGTGAGTTGTGCCCATTTTATAATGTTTTTGCCAGTTGTTAAGTGAATCATGTAGTCAATAAGTGAATCGGGCTTCCCCCATTGACTTTGCTTGTCAAAAGCTCCCTAGGAAGGTTGCAAATGACAATCCCAGGACCCCGGGACTTTGCAAACATCATAAATACATGCCAGTTGCTAAGCATCTGAAGTTTTATCACATAACTGTGGAGATGCTACAAGCTTCATAAGTGTGAGAATCGGTCATAAATCACTTTTTTCAGTGCCATTATAACTTCAAACAAAAGGTTGTGAGTTGAGGACTACCTGTATTGAAGCTGCATTGTCAAGCTTCACATTTTTAGTTGTACAACATATGAAAGCTAGTTGGTAGAATGATTTGTATTGGACTGAACAACTAAAGTCCTGTATTGGTAATTTAGGGAAAACATGCTATGATGAATATAATGAGTTAGACTAGATCATTTTTTTGCAAATTTTCATTTGGCTTTCAATAAAACACAAAGGAGAACAATTAAACTCAAGTCAAAAAAAGAACAAGAATATACAAAAATTAAACATAAATTACCCATCAAATAGTTTTTCAAAGCAAAAATTAAATTATATGGAAGTCAATTAATATTATAAAATATTACATAAATCTAGGTGTGCAATTTGAATGATTAAGAAGGATAATTGCAGAAATTAGACCCAAAAACAAAGTGCAGGATGTCAATTGCCAAACTGTATCGTTTGATGATATAAAAACTATAAGAAGTAATTCAGTCTGAAAACCTTTTAGCTTCATTCGTAACATTCCCTTCCGAGATCTTTTCTGATAGTATTTCGTTTCTTAAACTTTTCAGAAGAAATAGCATGCTTATCCTACTTAAAATATGTATATATCGGTCCACATTCCAATTTTAAATTATTAATAAACACCATTGTGTTCATAACTGCATATACTTGTACGTACTACCGTATGAATGTATTTTGACTTGTAGATAGTGATCCCAAATTGTATAGCATATCTTGAACATGTTAGGACTAAAACTGGGTTTTGATGATGCTGGCCAAACTGTGCCAAAAATATTTTGTTTATGATCAGGGAATATTGTAAATACATATGAAAAAGTAAGAATTTGTATTTTGGTGTTCGTGGCCTGTTATACTTCACTAAATGGTGATAGTGGAAAAACTAGGGATTAGTTTGGAGAAAATAATGTGTGATGTAAACTAATATGAACAGGGGGGAATTATATAAGAAGCACAGCTAGGTGAGCAGTACATAGACAGACATTTGCTCTTCAACATTTCATTCAGGAATATGTGAATGAGAAAGATTGTATTTATTTCAGAGAAAACTTTATACAATAAAGTGTGTATTTTTGTATGCAGACAATATATTGGGTTTTTTCTATTTTTCTGTTCTTTTGGAAGGAGAGATATAATATGTATCTATTTGTATACTTGAGTATTTTTGTGTATGAGAATGATTTATATGTGGCAATATCATGACATATTGGTAGCGATGTATAAATTAGGACCAGTTTATAAAGAGAACATGTACCTTAATTTGCAGGCAAGCAGTTCATTCAAATCAGAAGTTATTCGTCTAATGTTTGGTGAGGCTAATCCTCAGAATGTGGCTACTGCTTCACATACTCATAAATGCACACACTGTTATGTACCATAAAAATATTTTTAATAGGAAGGGGGAATATCCAGGATAGATTTCAGCTATCAAGTTGAGAGTCCCAAGGTGATTAGATAGGGAAGCTGAACATTGCACATTTCAGGTAATACATAAGATGTGATCTATACATGTCCAACATTTTGTGATAATTCATAGTGGTTGTTCATATAGCAAAATGTTGAAATGCAAAAAATAAGGTTTATCTGCTGGTTGCTTAGTCAGAACAAAATACCATTTTTTATTCTAAGTAACCAGCAGATAAACCTGATGTTTTGCATTTTAATATTGGAGAAGTTGTGTTTAAAATTTTATTAATCTGAACAAAAATAATAAATTTTGTTCAGAATTTGGATTAAGCTATCTAACTGTACAGGTAGTTCTTGACTTGCAACCACGTTTGGGATTGGGATTTTGGTCACTGATATGGTTGTTAAGCAAATCATCACATGACCAGTATTTTGATCGTTTTTGCTGTAAAGCAATAAGCAATAAGTGAATTCTGTGGTCATTAAGTGAAACATGCAGGTCATTAAATAAATCCAACTTCCTTTGTTGACATTGTTTGTTGGAAACCGGCTCCCCAAACCTGGGAAGGTTGCAAATTGCAATCACTTGACCCTGGGAATGGGTGCAACAGTTGTAACTTTTGAGGACAAGTTGTACATTTTTTTTCAGTACCATCATAACTTCAATCCGCCATTAAATCAATGATTGTACATTAAGAATTTCATGTAATTGCTATAACTTAGACAATGTCTTATATGATAGAGTTTTCTCTTTTTTTATTGTTTCTTGTTTTGTCCATAGTTGTAATAAAGTCTATGTATTAAAAAGATATACAATAGTTTGGGTATTGTGCATTGTATTTTGAATAGATTAAAGGTAGGCAATCCATGAGCTAATAGAAGAGAATATATATAGCTCAGAGATGAACTATTGAGTCCTTGGTACTCTTTGAGCTTGCTACCTGACTAATATCTTCAGTGCTAAAAAGGAATGGAATTTGCACTCAGTTTCTATATGCCATTGTCAATGGGTAGGAGTATTGTTTTCTTCTTGGTAATTACTTGATTATTGTTTACTGCTTGGTTGTTTGTCTGGTGTTAATTGTAATGTTAATTCCTTATTTGAATCTTGATTGCTAGAGAGGAGGTGTTCTGGGGGAGTTTGTTTCCTTTTTAGCTTTTTTTTATTGTTTCCTAGGAAGCTTGGTATTCATACAAGTCTGCTATCAACAGGCCCATAGAGATAAACAACATTTGCACATCATTCAAAAGAGACTATAGGAACCTCCAATTCAGACAAACAACCAAGCAGTAAACAACAACCTAATCAAGAAACTACCAAGGAGAAAACAACACCCCCACCTACACTGACAGGGCAAGCTACAGTATATAAGCCGAGAGCAAACCCCACTCCCTTCTAGCAGTAAAGATGTTACACATCTGCAACCAAACAACCAAGGTCAGAGAGCAGAAACGATTCCATAGTCTAGCATCTAATTTGAGACAACCCTTAAAATTGGTTCAAATCTATGGCTTCGTTTTTTATTTTCCCCTACTGTGTTATCTCATTCATTGAGAAAATATCAAAAACAGGCCAGAAATAAAATAGTGAAACTAGGTATTTCTCCTCAATTTTGGCTTTGGCCTCATTCAGTCCTGCCCATCATGCAATCCTCAATAGATTAACGTCAGGGAACTTAACAGGAGCTCTTAACAGGAGAAAGAAAAATATATATTGTCTATCCCTGGCAAATATTATGAATTGACCCAACTAATGCTGATAAGAATCATTACACGATTGGTTTACCAATCTTTGGGGCCTACAATGCATTCAGACTGAAAACAGTCTAGGAAATATGGTAGGAAGAAAGAATTAAGCTCAGTTAGCTTTATTGAGCAAGCAGGAATAGGGTCTTACTCTTTGTCCCTTTGTATCTATGGGAACATTTTGCTGCCACTTAAAGCTAAAGCCCTGAATATTTAATATTCTATTGTTTTAGAGTAATGCAGTAGTATTTTAGATAATATTCTTTTCATTCGATAATATAGATTTATGAAGTATATTTTGTAAACTAATGACATGTTTAACAAATATCCCAGATGTTTAGTATTACATTGTATTGAATCTTTTAAAAGTTGTCAGTCTTGGTTTAGATTGTTGTTTTTTATTAATTGTTTTCAATGTTGTATAGCCCTTATCTCTTAATTATCTTTTGCATTTTGATATTTTTTTGCATTTTGATATTTTGCTTTTTTTGTAATGTTCTTATAATAAAAAATGGACTAGTTGAAAGTTCACCATTATAAATAACATTTGAATTTGATTTGGACCTCGTGTCTGTTGGCAACTGTGTCACACAGTGATCTTTTCAGTGCTAAATATCAGAAAACATATGTTTCAATTCCCATAACATTCCAAATTTATTATATTTTTGCAATCTTATCCCTGAGATTTTTATACAAAAAATTTATCCTGAGTCTTACCATTTGTTTTATAACTCGTAGGCAAGATTGTAATACAAGCCTTGTGCGTGCCTGTTGGAATGAGCTCTTTACTCTAGGCCTAGCCCAGTGTGCACAGGTGATGAGCTTGTCAACTATCTTGGCAGCAATTGTCAACCATTTGCAGAACAGCATACAGGAAGGTATGTATTATTTTAAAGATTAATTGTTATAAATTCAAATATAATTGTATGTATCACTCGTACATAAACATTTTCTGTGTTGATGGGGCAATAGTGGTGTCTACTTTTAATTTTACCCCTAATGTTGCATTTCCTCCTTTGAGTATACATATATTGAGATCAGTTGTCTTCAAAGGACTGTTCCCATTCTTGGCAGAGGAATGGGCAATCATATTCCATTAGAATATGATAAAAGAAAAATTTACTAAAATGTATGTCTTCCAGTGATTCTGGGCAGCGTATAATAAACAAAGAAATTGCCATGAAATCAGTAAAGCAAGTGCGACAGACCAAATGGCCTGAAGCAAAGTCTGTCTCTCCCTCCCCCCCTCTCTCACACACACATACACACACACCTGGATGAAGAGGCAGATTTTCACCCATCTTCTCAACAAGAACAAAGTGCCATCTGCCTATTGGGAGATTCATTGGAAATAGAGGATCTGGGGTACAATAGTTGTACAACAATAGAAACAGGAATTTGCCCGATATTCCTTATTTTAGTTTCGTCTCATATCTGGGATTAAGATATTACATATTTTTTCATGACTAATAAAAATCCTGCATGCTAAAACTGTAATGCTATATTACTATTTAATTGCAATGTATCTTTTTTTTTCTTTTATAAAAATATATGGTGGGGTCTATTTCTGGCTAATGTACTTTGTTGTTTTAGGTTTAGAAGAATAAAAATAGCAGTTAATTTGATTTAATTTGTTAAATCCTTTCAAACTTAATTATAATAGACAGGTTCCGCCCCCCCAGCCAGGCCCTCAAAAACAACACTACTGATGTAGTTCCTCTGGTCAAGGAAAGAGGCAGGATATTCAGATGCCATGGAGAGGTAGGTGCCCTACGTTTGATTAAATGTAGGGCTCTTAAGATTTTCCATCATCCAAAGCTGAAGAGTATTCTAAACAGATTTGTATATGGAAACAAAAGGTAGTAGAACTATTATCCTTATTGAAAATAGATAGAAGCTGTTTGATCTAATTGTGGTGCAGTTAGTTTTATTTTAATGATAGCTTTTTATCAGCAGGAGTACATACAATAATTAAAATAGTAGTTCTCTTGCGTTTAGTAGAAATTAAAGTCTGATAAAATAAGCAGTGTTATTATTACTACTTCCTAATTAAGAGAAATGAATGTTTTACATCCTGCTGTTTGCAGAATACTTAATTTGTAAACAATAGGGGTTTCTAAAATACAGTGGCTGAAAAGACATGCAGAATAATAAGGCATAGTAAAATATTTTAAACATAAATTTAGAGAGTAGTTTTTTCAGTCCCAGAAGCTAGATGCATGCCAGATAGGCCCACTGCCACAAATGTTCTATCTCTTTCTCCCTTATTGATGTGCACCATCATGTATCACAGAATCAAAGAAGATAGGAAAAGACTTAATCTTCATCTTTCCTCCCAGCAATATTCCTAGAGGTTTTTATTTCTATTTTGCTTTGCAATATAGAGCCATTGATTATTTTCCACTTTACTATCAGCCAGTTTGGGGGAGAAATAGGATTTTCAGAGATTCTATGAAAATGTTAAAATACATTAGAAGACAGGATTAGTCACATAGGACATATGAAAATGCAAATATCACAGAAAGAAGACCAGGAGAAAAACATTTCATAGTGAGACCTTTTTATAAATCTATAGCATTTCAGTATTAATCTGTCTTATAATAGAGAAACATCAAAGCTCTTAAATTTATAGAAGTTAAGTTTTACTACTCAAATCATTTTTAAAAAGAAAGGGCAATTCTCAGCAATGGTGCGAAGTACACACACACACACACACAAGAATAAGTCTGTTTTATGGATGGAAAGATCAAAGTTAGAAGAATTAAAGCCTTCCTGAGTAATTCTTGTTCACTTTTCCCTTACTATGAATGTTGTTTGAATATAATTCCTATGCCAGTTCAAGAAGACAGATATTCAAGAAGACTTTGTTCAAGAAGACATTGTTATTGTCAAATCGGCCTTTTTTTGAGTCATTGTCTCTTAGGTAAGAGACATAACAACTTGCTTCTTGCTTTATAGAAACTTAATTTTTCACTAAGTTGCCTCAATGATTTCAGTACCATTCTGCATGTTTTCTGCACAAGCACGCACTGCCAATCTGCAGTGCTTCAGAAAAAAAATTAGTACTGTTACATTATATTCACACACAATAAAAGGTCAGCATAGAAAATGTTCCAAATTCCTTGTATAATCTTTGCTAATTTGGACTGAAACACTTTTACTAATGTCTTTTTAGAGAACATTTAGAGAAGGATGCTTTGGCAAGTGTTCCAACTTTATTACTTACTAAAATATTGATGAGCTTGCCCTTCAAGGCATAGTTTGAATTAATATAGCAGATTTATTGATTCTTGTTTTTAGACAACAATTTCTTGTCTTCTCTAGTCCCTTGTCACTGAAATTGAAAAACTGGTTCGACCCATAAAGAATATATAGGATCAGCTGTGCCTATCTTAATCAGTCAAATCCAGATGTTTGAAAGTGTAGTATGAGTCCTATGTCTCTAAGGGCAATGAAATTATTTCAGCAGCACTCTGCTTTCCACAAAAGAGGTTAATTCTTTCTTCCCTACTCAATTCTTCTCTGATTAAAAATATGGTAATTCCAACTTCTATTTGATCATTATTAGACACTGTATGTTTCTCTATAGCCTTTGGTTTACTTTGTTTTATTTCTATACCATGTCCTTTCTTTTTCCCTTATCTACTGCTTGATTTTTTTCTTCATTGTCTGCATTTTTAACAAAAGGGTAAGTCTCTGCTTCTGCTTTATTCACTGCAATTGAGCATTATAAAAATATGTACTTCAAACTACGGAGAAGAAGGAGGTTGTTAAGCTGCTAATTCCATTTGAAAAAGCAAGGTTTTTTCTTTCCATGAAGGAAATGTAATATGTGAAACAGCTATCTAAATGATTATATCCTGAAGAAGGGTTTATTTTTGGTTGATTTTCTAAACCTTCTTTTAAGAGAACATATAATGTTTACTTCTAGATAAACTTTCCGGAGATCGAATAAAACAAGTGATGGAGCACATCTGGAAACTCCAGGAGTTTTGTAACAGTATGGCTAAACTTGATATTGATGGATATGAATATGCTTATCTTAAAGCGATAGTCCTCTTTAGTCCTGGTAAGCATTTAACAATTATTTTATTTCAGTGTGTGTCTTTAATGCTGTTTAGATGCTTTAATACTCTGACACTAGCTAAAACAGTAAATAAATTGGCAACACATTTTCTAATACATTTAATTTGGGATTAAAATATTTATTTTGACCTTTTAACTATTCATTTCAATGAGACTTACTACTTAACTACTAAAATATGATACTTAAATTTGATATATTAGTGAAATACTTTCTTAAGAGTCATATGTCAAGTGTTTCCTTTTATTTTTCTTTAAATGATTTGGCAAGCAGATTCTGTGGATAGAGCAAAATATGGAAGACTGGTGAATAATATTTCCCAACTATAGTCCCAAACAGAATGTCATAATAAAGAGAATTGTAGTAGATGACCAAGATGAACTTGAGGGAGGAGTCAAATGCATCATCAGTCTGGAGTCCCTTCACACCCACAAGAGACCTGGCTGCCAATTTCCTATCATTGATATTGATGGATTCATGAAGAAAGCTTAAGTTTGCAATAAACCCTTATATACGTTTGAACTGCCTGAGTTTCCTGATTTCTGCACTTGACATGGATATAATTTTTAGGTTTCAACATTTATCTTTTCCTGTGCTAGAGAACATCTGGAAGTTATATTAGTTGGCCCCATTATTGATTTCAGCCTATCTGGGATTTAAAGACACTATTTGTAAGACGATTTAGGTTTTGCCTGTCAAAGAACAGTCATCTTAACAAGTGGTCCAAAGTGGCTTATTCTTTGTCTTAACTTTTTTAAACAAAACAATCACCCCCAAATAGTGGGAACAGCAAAAGTCTACTACTGAAGAACTACTTTCCAATAAGCAATGAGAAATTCAAAGGTAAATAATTATTAAAACAGATAAGTCTCAAAAAACACAAAATGTTCTTTGTAAATCTGGTTTAAGGTATAGATTATCTCGATGAGTTATACATGATTTGTATTGTAGAACCACAAACCAGCATTTAAATGTTTCTATACATTCTTAAATAGATTCAAATACTTTCTTAATAAGTTGTAATTGAGCTACTGTATACTGTAATAGATAATTACACTAAAAAAATATTTGAGGAATGATAATATATGGTCAATAACAGTGGATCCTGAAGGATTGGAATGATCTTACCAAATGTTGTGCATGATAATTGGCTTATATTTATGACCAGCTGCAGTATACTGTGGCCCTGTGATCATAATTTCTGATTTGTATATTTTTTGCATAGACCATATGTGCTAGAAAGCTAGAAAACAAAACAGAATTGTTAGTAGATGATGGTATACATTATCTTTGGAAATTTTGGAATAAAGCGTTTTTTAAAAAATATTACTGTATTTTTCAGTAAAAGTAAACAAATGATGAAATAATGTATTTAATTTTAATAGATCACCCTGGTCTTACAAGTTCCAGCCAAATCGAAAAATTCCAGGAGAAAGCTCAAATGGAGCTGCAAGACTATATTCAAAAAACTTATCCAGAAGATACTTACAGGTATTATAATATTATATGGTGGTTTGTTTAATTCTAAAGGTTTTATTTACTTGATTTAGTTTGTAAGGTTTTGTTTACTTGCTTTCACATGATCTTTGTTTTCAGTTCCTAGATAATTTTTGAAATAGACTTCCATTGGATTGAACTATAAATAATATATTTACTTTTAGTCAAAAAACAATGACAGGACAAAGTGCTTAATGATATATACTTGAGTTATTGAACAAACTTTACTGTTCAGAAGTGAGTTCCATTAAATTAAATAGAAATAATTTCAAGATAGATAGATAGATAGATAGATAGATAGATAGATAGATAGATCGAACGAACATACTTGAGTTGGGACCTGTCTGTCAGTTTAACTTCAGGATGTTACATTTACAGATACTACTTGCTTTCCTCCATAGTAGAAAAGGTAAAAATAGTTCTCAGTTTATGACCATCCTTTTAATGACAGTTTAGTTATGATAGCCTTAGAAAAAATGTTTTACAATCTGTACTTGCACTTACAACTGTTGCAACAACCCTGCAGTTATATGATCACTATTCAGGCGCATGATAATTGGCTTATATTTATGACCAGCTGCAGTATACTGTGGTCCTCTGATCATAATTTACTACCTTTTTTGTCAATTTCTAGCAAAATACCCACATTGGGGAATCTGGATTTAACCACAATAATTTACTTAACTATCATAAAAATTGTTGTGAAATCATATCCATCTCAACTTACCACCACAACAACCTATGATGGAAATTCTGGTCCCAATTGTGGTCACAAGTTGAGGACTTTTTGTACATAGTTAATCAACTTAATATATTTTTCCTTTTAGTGTTGAAGAGAGGGTCCTACGATGCATTAAGTCATCCTTTAAGAATAAGGTAGTTCAGTCTGATGTGACCAGAATGTACATTAAATTTCAGGGTGAGCCTTTTTTTTTTATCCCAATGCCGGACAGTCCTGGTGTAGTGGTTAAGGCATCAGACTAAAAACTGGGAGATTGAGTACTAGTTCTGCTCTAGGCACAAAGCCAGCTGGGTGACCTTCGGCCACTTTCTCTTAGCCCCAGGAAGAAGGCAATGGCAAACTGTTTTGGAAAAACCTTGCCATAATATAACAGAATTAGAAAAATAATTGCAGTGGCAAATGAATTTCAGCAATAAATCAATGTTTACTTACCTAAACAGGAGTGGTGTGGTGGCCTAGAAGAGGCTGTGAGTTCAATCTAGTTAGCGGCAGATATTTCTCTGGACACGAAGAGAAAGTATCTGCTGCAAATTCCATGTAGGCATCAGGAAGGCCATCTGGCCAGTAATCTTTCAGCTCCTTTCATTCGCCTCAACTCCACCATGATGCAAGGGATTACAGGGTCATTAAAAGAAAAAAAAGTTACTTGCCTAAACAGTTAAATAGAACGACCCATGGTAAAAAGTAATGGAAATACAGCCTCATGACTGGAGGATACTGCAATGGCCACAGGGGTCTGAACATGGTAAAAAATTTCAATTCCACAAGAATAATGAGTCCTGTATGTTTTTTATGCATTATTTAAGTTAGTAGATTTTAGATACCTTGATTCAGAAATTGTGACAGTACAATATACCATTTGGACTAACTCAAAGTTATAAACAGATGAACACAATGAGAGTTTTATTATATTCTAGCAATCTTCTAGAATCTGCATAAAACAGTATTTTGAATTTTTTGCCATATAGACTAGGGTTGGCATAATAATTATGACTATTATTTTATGATACTATTAATAACACTATATGTATTATTATTAGTAACAAGTATTAATATTACTTGTTTTATTGATTTTATGCTTGAATTGGATTTTACTATAGTTTTATTTTATTTGTAGTATACAAGACTGAATCAGTTGTTTGCTAGCACATAAAATATTTAATAAATAAACATTCAAGTGTGATAGTTGGAAGCCTCCTCCTCTAAGGGACCGTGTAAAAGAAAGTTTGGAGGAGCCCTTTATTGTGCAACCAATCAAAATAGATATTGAGGACCTTGTGCCTTGCAGCTTAGGGTGTTTATCAGATTAGGTTCAAGTGGTATACCTTTGAGAAACACATTGAATCTGAGCCCTCCTGAGGCTTTCTATATGATTCAGAATTTTGACTGATTCTGAGACATAAAAGTCCTGTAATGAGAATATTCTTTCCCAAACTCTTCATGAAGTCATACTCCAGGTTAAAAGGGTGAGATAGTTTGTAGTTTTGTAACACTTTAGCTTCTAGCCATAGTGGATGATAATTTTTCATGAATTCAGTAGCCAAAATATAGAAATCAAATGAAAAGCTTAAGCATCACAGCAGTTCTGGCAAATTGAGTTCCATTTTTACATGTACCACTGACTTTCTTATTTCAGGCTAGCTCGAGTTCTAGTTCGCCTGCCAGCTCTTAGACTGATGAGTTCCAGCATTACAGAAGAACTCTTTTTTACTGGTCTTATTGGAAATGTTCCAATTGACAGCATCATCCCCTACATCCTGAAGATGGAAACAGCAGAGTACAATGGTCAAATAACAGGATCGTCTTCTTAGAAGGAATTAGCTCATCCTGTTGGACCTGAATGTTAATTTACTGATTCCGTGGGATAAGGTGTACAAATGTTTTCAACGCTTTTCGTTTTCTTGTTAAAAATTCTTTTATTCAAAAACAAGGTTTAAAAAACCCTACAGAACTTTTTTCTATGACCTATTTCTGCCAGAACAAATATTTGAATTTGTTTTTCTGAAATGATACAGTGAATTGATAAATATATCTTTAATATGTCTTTTTATTTAAGTATTATTTATGAGTACACTATAGCTTCTCTTATGACAGAATACACATTAAAAATATATATTCTGAACTTTAGCTTGGATCCAAAAGGCTCCAAGATGTCTTCTGCAAAAGGATTGCCCCCTCCCACATCACAGCCCTTGTTCTTTCCCCCACTTTCCAAAATGAAATGCCACTCCAGGACAGCATGAAGCATAGCATGCTAGTTTGTTGGAGAGAAAAAAATGTTTACAAGATAAATGGGCTTTGAATGCAGTCTATATTGTGTGCTCACTCACATACATGCAGATAATTTAAAATTAGCAAGATGTAGGAATGGTCAGCACTTCCAAAGAATGTTTTATGAAAGTAAGATATTACCCTCATAATCTTGCTTCCTTGAATAGGGTAAATGAATAGCATTTTAATTACAGATATATACTAATAATTTCTATGAAAACTTACAGCCATGGCAGACAATCAATCATTTATGCTACAAAATTTTTAATTACATTTGTTTATTAATAACATGATTCTTTTAATGATGTTTGAATTAAATTTTGCTAAATGAATAGAAATGTTTATAGCATAGGAAAAGCATAATGTTTATGGCTCAACTGTAAACTTGATAGACTCTATAGAAGTTATTTACACTGAAAAACAACACACTACTTATAGTGAGGCACTTCTGAGAATTTTAAGATGTTTGCCAATAGTTTAAAAAAAAAAAACGTGGGACACATCCATCACTTTAAATAAGAACCACATGCCTTTTATAGACAGAACAATTTAAAAAAACAAATTTCATACTCATTCCTTCTAAGAATGATTCATTCCTTCTGGGAAGACTGACTTTGGCACAGTTCTGATATCACTAAATTAGTGAGGAATCTATTGATTATTGAGATGTTGCTTCTCAAAGGAGTCCTACAATCAGTTTGGAGCACTCCAGTAACAGTGGTTCAACATTCCTAATGATCTGCCAAAACAATCTTAGAAAGGTGGGATGAAAGCAAGAAGGAACTGTAATAGCAGTGAAAGAGAATACATATAGCCTAACTTCTGGGTCTTTGGTATGTGTTTGGCTATGTGGCAGACGGTTCAGCTACAGTAGATCCTGGGTTCTGCCTAGCCTGGTCATCAGAGTATGATCACAGCGGGGAAGTTTCTTATAGTCCCTGCAGTAGAATTCCATGGAACTATAAAGTCGTATCCTAAGAATTCAGATTTTGATTCATTCATTTTCTCAGCCTGAAATCCAGCTTACATTCTGAAACATATGCCATGATTTCTACAGAAATGATACCCATAGTGTAGAAAAAAGAATAGTCATGTGTTTATTTATATTATGCTGTATCTGTTTTCCCAATATTGTATATGTTCTAGAATTATTCAGAATCTGATAAATCACCTGGAGTCATAGTACTAAAAATGCCATGTACAATCTGTCAAAATATTAAGGCTGGCCAATTCTACTCATATCCAGTACTGCTTTTAGATTTCATATTATATTGTACAAAACTTCTGTATTTCAAATCATAGTTGTAATTTTTATTTCATACATACATACTTTTTTCAAATTGACTTTTATATGAAAACATATTTCAACAAGTATGTCATTTATACTCATTAAGTATATGGTGGTTTCAGTGAGCATTTTAGTAGAGGCATTTTATAGTGAGTATTTTAAAGATGTTAATAGATGCAGGTACCAATGAAGAATAAGAAAGGTTAGTCCAATTTAATAGATGAACAGATATTACATAAGTAATGTAGTCTTACAGATCTCTTTCCTCAGAAAATGTCACTGAACTCAGTGGTGCTTACTTCCAGTATGTGTTCATACTGCATAATTATAATTCATTCAGTAAATTCCTAGGTATACCCAATTTTTTAATATTTACTATTCTTTCATTAACTTAAACTTAATTCATAAAACACTGTTACACAGAAGCTGAATTAGTATACTCCCTGATTTTTCTTAAACAGGAGCTTAATATAATTTGCATTGGAAATACATTCAGTGGGACTATGACTATAGATGCATTGGGAAGTACTGGAAAGTGTTGTATAATATATATAATACTAAATATTTAAAGTAACAAGATCAGTTGGAAATAGAATTGAGTCTGTCCTGGATCATAAAACTTAAAACTAATTACAGGCCAAATTTATGAAGTTAAAAACATTGGATGAGGAAATATTAAATAACAAATTATATTTTAGCTCGATTTTTATGCAATCTGCAGAACAAATTATGTACACTATTTTTATTGTGATAATTTATAACACTAATATATTTTACATGCTACCCTGATTGGTATGGTGACACATATATTTTTAAAACTATTAGATTATGTATAATATTTAATTATGCATATCTAATAAAATATATGCAATTTGAATAATATAAAAATAGTAGTTTTTAAAATAATGCAGTGCAAAAAGAAGTAATTTGCTGAATTCTGCACCAGGTTAGATCCTCCACAAACCATTATTCAGATATTAATTTCATTCTCTTGTATTAAGTTGAACAAAACTAGTTTACATCATTTGTTTTACTGATCTAGAGTTTGGACCAAGCCAAAATAAATTTAAATAGCACTATTTTAATCGCATTGAGATGCAATATTTCAATTATTTGCATTCATTATTTATTTACTTCCCATTTCACCTAGCAGCTAGGTCCTAACTTGTGTATTATAAAAATGTTTCTGCAGTTGTTCATTATCATAGCAGAGATATGTAGTAGATCTCACAACTATAGTAGGAATTATTTTTATATTTATGCTTTTCGCTGTGCCCAAGACACCAAGCATTTATTTATTTATTTATTTATTGTTTTACGTTTTGTATAATGAACTATTCTAACCCTTTTAAACTTTTGGTTTTTATAAAAGCTCTAGAAAGTTTTTGAAGCATCTAGAATTTATACTTCCAATTTTCAAGGAAAGAAAGAAGGGCATCAGAAAAAGGACATGCAATATAGGCCATCCTTCATCTTGTGCAACCTGTTGGAATATGTTTTCTGAATATAATTTTCTTTTTAAAAATGTAAGCATTACTCTTGCTTATGTGCCCACCTAAAATCTCTCAGCATGTTTGGAAGAGTTTTGCTTTTGTTTTTCAGATGGTAGCAGCTACCAGTATACTACAAGAAACTATTGATGTGGGTGCATGTTGAAAGAAACATGACTGCACTGAGAAACTACTATTCAGACAGAAAACAAAAAAGTATTTTGTTTATCTATATTAGAATTCATTAGGTTCTATCCAGTATCACATAATAGAAGTTACTCTGCTTCTGTTCTATTTGTATTTTCCAGATCTGCTTCAGAGTTCTGCTAATCTTCTACAGCAGATTTGCAGAGCTGCTTTGAGTAGAATGAATGCTATGTATTCCTTGGGCAGACAAATACACTTTGCTCAGTGGGTAATTATCCTTGGGCCATGCACATTAGTGAAAGCAATAGAGATTTGCCTAGTTGGTGTCATATAATCCTGACCCTTTGTAATTTGAGCTTAAAATAATTATTGAAGGTTGTTTTATCACAAAGTCATGGCACCTTTAAAAATTATCAGTAAGTGTAAATTTTAATGTAATATCTATTATTCTGAAGGTGGTCATTTGAGATGATTACTGTTACCAAGCACACTTATTTGAAAGCAAGTTATCTCAGATTAGTGGAATTTAAATATCCATGTTAAGGATCTGCATTTAAAAGATGTCCTGAATGGACAGTTTGTTGATAAATTGAACTTACGAATTTTAATTTATTTCAGTGGACTTGGACATGCATGAGAATAAGTCTAAAATCTTCTTGCTATGGGTAACTATAGGGCAACTGACAAACCATTAAATAATACAGTTTTCTTGAATATTTAATTAAATAAAATGAATTGTAATTAAATAAAAGAAAATGAATTAAATAAAAGTAAAAAAAAAATTGTAATTTTAAGTATGTGTCCATAGGTGGGTTTTATTATCAAAAAGAATTAGATATGTCATTTAGAGTTCAGTTTGAATATGCCATATAACAGGAAAAGTTTTTTTAAAAAAATCTTAGGACTTGACCAAGCTCTTAAGCATAATCAAAATAGTGCTTTGGATGCTGGCCATATTTATTTGTTTGAATGATGTTTATGTGTTAGTTTCTAACTTTGTTCAGTACATGTACAGTGTAATATAAAATGTGTAAGTATGTATGTAAAATTATGTACAGTCTTACTCATATGTACCAGATTTCTATATGTTAAAAAAAGATTTATAATTGCATTGCAAAGCTTGAGCTTCCTACATTTTATATTTTGTTCAAATCTTGATATAAACATGCCTCCCTCTCAGTAGAGTGGGCTATTGTTTTTAAACCTAGGATGTAATTGCACTTTGTCTTAAATACTGAAACTATCTAATAGTTCCAATTTTATTTGTTAATATTCAGAAGGCCAGCTGAAATTATGGAGATTGTGCAGTGACAGTGGTGGTGAACTGTGGACCATAAACCTTTCTGTATATTCTCAATGCCTGCAAAAGAGGCTTTTTGTATTTTTCCTGAGCTTTTTTTTTGCATAGTCTTCTTTTTCAGCGTGTACATTTTGATCACACTGTATTTTAATGTTATCAGTACATCCCTTCCAAGTTGCTGATTAAAATGAACAAGGCTGTCACAACAGATGAGTCTAATTTTATATTGTTAGCTGTTTTATTAAATGAGCATAAGGCAAAATGTTGTGTCATGAATGTCACTAACTGATTCTGATATGTTATCTTCAAAGTAAAACTTTTCTTTCTTGTGGAGAAAATGGCAAAATACCAATAGCAATAGCACTTAAACTTACATACCTTTTCAGTGCTTTACAGCCCTCTCTAAGCAGTTTTACAGAGCCTATTGCCTCCAACAATCTGGGTCCTCGTTTTACCCCCTTTGGGAGGATGGAAGGCTGAGTCAACTTTATGCCTGGTGGGATTTGAACTGCCAAATTGCAGGCAGCCGGCAGTCAGCAGAAGTAGCTTGCAGTACTGCACTTTAACCACTGCACCACCATGGCTCATGGTCAAAATGACATCTTAAATTTAAGTTTTTGAATAGACAAGTGGTATGAGATTCTACCACTTGTGGCACCTCGTATCACTTTGTTACCAGTGAAGTCTTGGAGAATGTTTCAAGTAAGCTCTGAAGGGAACTAGTGCATCCTAAGTTTTTTGTTTAGTTTCACTTTTTATTACCCTTGATTACTTTCCAGCCTCTCTCTCTAAAATTTGGGAGGAAGGGACTGTTGTCATATCATTTGGGCAGAAGTTGCATGTAAAACATTCAGTGGTGCTATACAATGGCTCCATAAATAATTATGATTGTACTAAGGGAGAAGTACTCCTATATATAAGGACACATATAGAAGCTCTATACTATTGTACTATATGGAAAATTGCATTTTGTTCTGTCTTTTTTGAAAATTCAGGTAGTTTGCAGTGCATGGAGAGGCAGGGCTTGATAGGAAACTTACATGGTTGTTTTTTTTAAAAAAAAAAACACTTTTTTTTCCCCATGCCTTGACAACTACTTCCAAGTATGGTTAAAGAAGAGTATTGAAATCCTGCTCTGGAGCATTGTGAGGATCATTTTTCATGGATATAGAGAAAGATTATGAAAATTAATGCTGCTAATAAAGTTATATATAGTGTAGCACTTGCCTAATCTGGGCCTTAAGACTTCAGTTGTAACTGAAAGTCTATAAAAATTTATCAAATGAAGTGGGATGCAATTCTGAAGAATTCCTAAATATTTTTCAATTTATATTTTTCTGTTTTCTAATCTACTGTTTTAATCATTTTTCTTCATTTTAAAACCATTTTTTGCTAAAAGCATTAATTTTAAATTTACTGAAACTGAAATTCTTTGTTTCATAGTTACAGTAATTGGATTCGGGAGCCATTCCATATAAAATTGAATAGAATTTTTCCATTTCTAGTTCTCTGAAAGGTTAAGAAAAATATTAAGAGTTTTTGCTTATTTGAAAAGCTTGCAATATGTGTAAGACGGCATTTCTCATTCGCTGGAAGCAGAAAGAATCCCAAGAAAAATGTAGGGAATCTTCCTGATACTGCTGCTCAGACATGATAGGTTTATTTTTTTGCCAATCCTATTTACACAATGCAGTAGCAAAAGCAAATACATTGTTAGAAGAGTAAAAGTAACTTGGTACTAGAAGTATAATACAGATTTCATATTCTATTTAGTTAAAAAAAACTAAACTAAACCAACAGCTGGATAGGTTTTACTTGTGTATTGTCCAAAAGATAACAACATACAGTACCTTATTTTTTGGTATACAAAATTTATATTCGGAAAAGACTTCCATAATTATGTACTAAGTATAATGTAAAGCCATTGTTCTCAACAGTTTTATAGTTGAAAAAGTAGTACTTATGTTTACAATTGTAAGCATTTGAAAACTCCCTCAAGCGTTACGCTTGTATGAAAATTAATGTATTTCCCCAAAAAAGAATTGTGATAATATCCAGGGTTATATTTTATAGCTCTATGCTTTGTACTGTTTATTAAAAAGTCTTTTTTTCAGTTCAGGTTTAAAACCTGTTGCTTCCTCTCAGTTTCTTTTGTGAAATCAACTTTGAAAAATTCATGACATTTTAAGTTGTTTTTTTAATCTTAACTTTTTTGTCCAATCAATGCCTTCAGTTTGGAAGATAAATTTGCGTTGTTGTGTGTGTGTATATAGAGAATTACAGTGCATGCTTATGCATTTTATTAAATGCTGTCTAAATGTGTCTTTACATTGTTGTGGCTTAATGTTGCAGTCTACAAGAAATTTATACTATTACAATAAATAAAGACTCTTATGCAGCTTTTGACTTCCTCCTTTTAATATTTTTGTTAATATTCATGGCAGTTAATGATGACTGTGGCATTTTGTTAACATTGCTTGAAACATATGAAACAAAAAAATTCTCCAAAGTAGCGTTCTGCACCCCTCAGCTGGTTTTATCCCAGAGTTCCTCAAACAAAATTGCCCATCTCCCTTGCCAGGGAGTAAAGTTTGAGAAAGCGTGTGAGTTGGGAATAAGGGAACAGCTTTGAAAAGTCAACCATCTCTACTGGTATAAGTCTTTAGATTTTGGCTAAAGATCAGGACATTGATTTAAGTATACAGCAATGAAAACATATTTTAAATGTATTCTCTGCCACACCTGTACATGGCAGATACTGGAATAGTCCTTGGCATGCTCAATTTTGCTTTTTAACTAACTGCTTCTGCCAATAAAATGATTCATGTTTAAAGATACTATAGTTAATTCCTTGGTAGCTGGGGAATTCTGGGAGTTGAAATCCATATATCTTAAATTTGCCACGGTTGAGAAACACTTAAGAAATGGCATTTGGCTTTAACTGGGCTTAGAAATTTAGTAGAGTCATTTCTGATTAGCATGAGTTGACTCCTATAAAAGATATTAGGAAATCTATTCTGCAAATTAAGAAACATCTTGGGAGAAAACCAGGGTAAATTATTGATATACACTGCTCAAAAAAATAAAGGGAACACAAAAATAAGACATCCTCGATCTGAATGAATGAAATATTCTTATTAAATACTTTGTTCATTACATAGTTTAATGTGCTGACAACAAAATCACACAAAAATTATCAATGGAAATCAAATTTAGCAACCCATGGAGGTCTGGATTTGGAGTTACACTCAAAATTAAAGTGGAAAACAATACTACAGGCTGATCCAACTTTGATGTAATGTCCTTAAAACAAGTCAAAATGAGGCTCAGTAGTGTGTGGCCTCAACATGCCTGTATGACCTCCCTACAATGCCTGGGCATGCTCCTGATGAGGTGGCGGATGGTCTCCTGAGGGATCTCCTCCCACACCTGGACTAAAGCATCCCCCAACTCCTGGACAGTCTGTGGTGCAACATGGCGTTGATGGATGGAGCGAGACATGATGTCCCAGATGTGCTCAATTGGATTCAGGTCTGGGGAACGGGCGGGCCAGTCCATAGCATCAATGCCTTCATTTTGCAGGAACTGCTGACACACTCCACCCACATGAGGTCTAGCATTGTCGTGCATTAGGAGGAACCCAGGACCAACCGCACCAGCATATGGTCTCACAAGGGGTCTGAGGATCTCATCTTGGTACCTAATGGCAGTCAGGCTTCCTCTGGCAAGCACATAGAGGGCTGTGTGGCCCCCAAAAGAAGTGCCACCACATTTTAGGAAGGAGAGTAGAACAAAGAAGAAGAAAAACTCCCCTTTAGGGTATTCGCAGCTTGTGGCTCTCACAAGGAACAATATATCCTTAACAGCTTTCAAAGTTCCAAATCACTTTCTCCCGTCCCGGTTAAAAGCACCTTTCACTTTCTCCAGCTTTCTCCCTCCTGCACTTGCTTACCCGGCTGCAGCTTTCTTCGTGGCGGCCATTACTGACCGCCGTTCCTCCGCCTCGGGAAAAGGGAGTTTAGCCGGCTGGGGAGGGGGTTTGCGGCACCCCCAAACCCCTTGCCAGATCCCCCCTATCTTCAGCTGCCTCTACGGGGCAGCTATATCCCCCAGATCCAAATGGATCGAGGGAACCTTGGCGGCGAACGCAGCAGGGATCGCGCGGTTGCAAATCCCTGCCGCCGCCGAAGGCTAGCAAACCGGAAAACCCATCTTTTTGGCTGTGAGTGGGAAGGGAGAGTGAAAAAAAAATCAGAGCAAAATTTGAAAATAAGGAGAAGATTGCCTAGAATTGCAAAGAGTTTAAAAACTTCCAAAAAATATATTTGAAAAGGATTTGTGATTACTTTAACCCCAGAAAGAAAAAGTGAAGAAGAAGAAGGTATTTAAAAGAAACAGTCTGTTTGGATTGTTTGGTGATTTTGGAACCTTTGGAAATTATTTCTGATTAAACCATCTGGGTGGTTGTTTGGAAAAACTTTTTCTCTACACAATGGCATCACCTGTGGATGGATTGGAACTTCTATATCCAAAATATGAAAGAGAAAAACAAGGAGGGGAAGATGGACTTGGCACTATTTTTCAATACTTAGAAATGGCGGTTTATATTTATGCGAAGCAGAATGAGGATGATGGGGACAAAGAAGAAGAAGAAGCAATCTTTGATGAAAAAAGGACTTTGATTGGAGACGGGAAAAAGCAAGAGAAAAAGGAAAAGAGGTCTTTAAGATCTGAAAAAACAGCCCAAAAAGAGAAGAATAAGGTGAAAAAGAGACATTATGTTAAGAAACAACAGAAAGGGGGAAAGCAGAATAAAAGGGAGGTGGAGAGACAAGGGGTTAAAGAGGACAAGGAGAAGAAGAAGCAAGGGAGAAAGGAAGGGATGAGAAGCTCTAATGGTGGGGAGCAAGATATTAAGAAGCAAAAGTTTTTCAGAGATAATGGATAGATCTTATTGTTAATGGGATTCTAGAAAGGTACATAAGATTGCATTTTTATATCTGTATTTAGAAGTAATTATAGAAAATTAGAAATAATATGTAGCTTAAAATGTGATAAAATATCTAACATAAATAAGTAAAATTTTTGTTAAGAAAAAGAGAGTACTGTAATGAAATATGATTCAAGATTGTGATGTGGGGGGTAATAATCGTGGAAAGCATAAGTGTTCCCACAAAGGCATGATATTTAATTGAAATGGATAAAATGTTTAAGATATAAATGATTGTTAAAATTAATGATTAGAACATGGTATACTAGCAAAATCTTTTGTGAAATGAGATTTGAAGTAGAAGAAGGAGGAACATTTCAACGAAATATTGAGCTATAATATGTGATTTGGGGGGGGCGCGGATAATTATGGAAAATAGGGCTCTCATAAAAGTATGTGATTTAATTGAAAAGTAATGAGTTAAACGTCTAAGATATGAATGAATATCAATACTAATGAATAGATTTGTATTATTTTTGATTATATAGTATAATTTTAGAATGTACCAGACAGAATCCCAATGTATGTTATGTATTTTATATTAGGTATTATAAATATAAGGGAAAAAGATAAAGGCATCATACTCCATATAGTGTACAGGAGAAGTATTTCTTCTTTTTTTTAAAGAAGAAAAATAAATGATTGGCTGGAATAGAACAGACAAAGAATAATAAATATTAGGATATGAATTGAGAGGAGGGAAAAAAAATAAAATAAAATTGAGAAAATTAAAAGGAGAGGAGAAGTTATATAGAAAATTGAAAATGTTAATAAGATATGAAATGGTATGTAAAATGAATATGAAACTGAACTTGTGTCTGTACCAAGAGTTTTAACCCGGGACTAAGCAACTTTCAGAAAAGAGATTTTTTATGCTTTTATGTTTTGTGTTTATGTGTATTTATGTATTGTTTGTCTTGAAAATAAAAACTTGTTTTTTAAAAAAAAGAAGAAGAAGTGCCATCACACACCATTACTGACCCACTGCCCAAACGGTCATGCTGGAGGATGTTGCAGGCAGCAGAATGTTCTCCACGGCGTCTCCAGACCCTGTCACGTCTGTCACATGTGCTCAGTGTGAACCTGCTTTCATCTGTGAAAAGCACAGGGTGCCAGTGGCGAATTTGCCAATCTTGGTGTTCTTTGGCAAATGCCAAATGTCCTGCATGATGTTGGGCTGTAAGCACAACCCCTACCTGTGGACCACCCTCATGGAGTCTGTTTCTGACCATTTGAGCAGCCACATGCACATTTGTGGCCTGCTGGAGGTCATTTTGCAGGGCTCTGGCAGTGCTCCTCCTCTCCCTCCTCACACAAAGGCGGAGGTAGCGGTCCTGATGCTGGGTTGTTGCCCTCCTACGGCCTCCTCCACATCTCCTGATGTACTGGCCTGTCTCCTGGTAGCACCTCCATGCTCTGGACACTATGCTGACAGACACAGCAAACCTTCTTGCCACAGCTCGCATTGATGTGCCATCCTGGATGAGCTGCACTACCTGAGCCACTTGTGTAGGTTGTAGACTCCGTCTCATGCTACCACTAGAGTGAAAGCACTGCCAGCATTCAAAAGTGACCAAATCATCAGCCAGAAAGCATAGGAACTGAGAAGTGATCTGTGGTCACCACCTGCAGAACCACTCCTTTATTGGGGATGATCCTTTATGCTAACTGCCTATGCTTTCCACCTGTTGTCTATTCCATTTGCACAACAGCATGTGAAATGGATTGTCAGTCAGTGTTGCTACCTAAGTGGACAGTTTGATTTCACAGAAGTGTGACTGACTTGGAGTTACATTGTGTTGTTTAAGTGTTCCCTTTATTTTTGTGAGCGGTGTATTTTTATTAAGAAAACCTCTATTTACCCCAGAATTGAGGTGAGCTCCAAAGGATCTTATCTGTAGCGATGGATCTATTCTTGTCACATATATATCCCAAATGCAAGAAAGAGCACACTAGACCTCTTCCCCCGATTTATCCTCATAATTAACTATAGCTAGCTAGATAAGATAGCTGGCCTCGAGTCACCCAAGTAGCTTCTGTGGCTGAAATGCGGACGTGGTTTCCTCATCCTTAGTTCCACGCTGCACTTACATCAAGCAGTCTGAGCTGTGACTTAATGAAATAGGGATAACCATATTTTGGGGGGAGGAAATTTGTCTCTACTGTTACTGGTTTATTGTAAGAGAAAACTGCTTTTTTCGCAACATCTGAATAACACTCCCAAACTTTTGCGAGGATTACTTCAACAATTTCTTTAAGTCTTGGCGCTGTTACAACCTATAAAGCGGCCGTCAGGATGAGATTACCCGACTGTCCACTAGGACCACCCCCTTTAGGGTTGCCAAAACCCAGTGACTTTTGCAATCCAGCCTTGGTACCGCTGGACCGACCCTCTTGGGTTTCTACTGCTCGCGAGCCATAGATCCAGGTCCTTGTCTTCGGGGATTCCCTCACCTTCACTCTCGAAAAATAACTACACTTCCCATAGTCCTCTGCGCCGATCGCCTCTTCCTCTTTCTACCGCACGGCGGTTTCCGTGCGAAGCTAAAGATTGAGCCGGAAGTCGCGTTCTCCCGGGGGTGGGTGGGGGGGGCGCGTTGTGCAGGGTTGCCGGTGCCGTCGCAATCATGCCTATGAAGGGCAGGTTCCCTATTCGAAGGACGTTGCAGTATCTGAGCCAGGGTGACATCGTCTTTAAGAACTGCGTGAAGGTGATGACGGTGAACTACAACATGCACGGAGAGCTCAACGAGGGCGCCAGGTGAGGGTCGCTCTCCTTTTAGGGGAGACGGCCGTGGGGGAACGCCTCGGGTCTGGGCTGCAAAGCAGCGATGGCTGCGGGAGGTAATGCTCCTTATTTTTGCAACCCAGATATAGTAAGCCCTATTTTAGGTGGAACTGGCCTGCGGATAGGGGCCCGTTGGATTGCCGATTTAATCTATGGGGTCTTAAAACCTGGCAACTTTTAAGACTTGTGGACTTCAATTCCCAGAATTCCCCAGCCAGCATGGGAATTCTGGGAGTTGAAGTTCACAGATCGTAACGGACCGTACTTGCCCACTCGTGCCATAGAGGCTGCATAGCTTCAAGTTTACAACTGGTCAAGTAATCATGAGCTGGTGAGGGGAAGAGAGGTGACACCATACTGCCTCTCTGACTTTTAATTCTGCCCAAACTAACGTGTTCCGAAAAAGTGTGTGTGTGTGTGTAGTTTTGCTACAACAGATAGCATGGCCAGCTTTCTGAAAATGAGATATATTCCTGGGTAATATTGGTCATGTTCCAGGTGGATGGAATCACTCAAAAGCTAGACAGTCACACCTATTCAACTGCTTGACCTTCAAAGAGGTTTAAAAAACTGAATAAGTTGCTTTTGTTTTTTACCATAGAAAATTTGTGTTTTTCAACATACCTCAGATTCAGTACAAAAATCCTTGGCTGCAGATTGTGATGTTTAAAGACATGACTCCTTCACCATTCTTAAGATTCTACTTGGGTAAGTAGAGTATTTGTCTGATTTCCCTGCAGCTCCTGATGAGGTGGACTAGAATAGTGTTTGCTTATGCTCCGAATTGTAGCTACCACATGGGAGATAATATGTCTGCTAAAAGAGGGAAATGGCTCATATCTTCAACACTTTCTGGTTGATGTACCGGTAATTGCTAATAGAACTGTGTAAAATTGCCACTCTGAATTGTAACAGTTTGTGTTCAATGGTGGTAAACCAAGTTCATATTCTAATTTTAGGGAGTTTTGTTTCCCTTAGAAAGAACTGCAGTCAATAGTTTATCTTTGATATTTTTCCAAATTTTTGTTTAAATAACCCTAGTTTGTCTTATGTAGAGGTTTGAGGGAAGGAGTCGTAAAGAACTGCACTGGAAACCTGAAGAGAAAATATGCAGTAGATGGAATAAGCTCTTTAATCTTTCTACCTTGTAGTCTTTAAGGACTGGGCATGGAAAGTAGATAGTCTGGCAGTACACTAACTTTTTGTTCTCACTGTCATATTTTTAAGGCCTTTCATTGATATCAAGATGATGTGGACCTGAACTAGCACAGGCATGGAGAACCTATGAGCTTTTAGCTATTCTGACAGTTCCAGATGGAAGTTATTCTTGCAGATTTTGAATAGATATGGAAGAGCACAAGTTCATGTAGTTATAAGCATAAAACCCATTTGTAAGGATTATAGACTGATAAAAATATCATTAGATATGCCTCTCATATTTCAAAACTTACAGAATCTTAACCTAACCATCCTGCTTAAAAATAATTGAATTTTTTGAGAACCAGTGACCAGTTATAATGTGTTACAGTCAACCAGTGTGGGGATCCCAAGAGTGGCATGCAACCCCAGGGATGGTTGGTGGCTTAAGGATGCTCCCTTAAATTCTTAACTTTATTTTTCAACTTTGTCTATTTCTGTATAGATTTTATGCTATTTATTTGCAAAACATACAAGACACTTAAGATAGCGAGATGGATGGCATGTACATTTAATAAATAAAGTCACCAAGGCTGGATAGTTTCAAGTATGAATGATTTGCCACAGTGGTGGAATTCATATTTTTTTCACTACCAGTTCTGTGGGCGTGGCTTGGCGGGCATGGCAGGGGAAGGATACTGTAAAATCTCCAGTCCGAGGTGGTGTTTGCCGGCTCTCCGAACTATTCAAAATTTCCGCTACCAGTTCTGCAGAACTGGTCAGAACCTGCTGAATACCACCTCGGGTTTGCCAAGTGACCTCGTGTCCAAATGATCATGTGTGTATTTTTGTCTGAGAGATATGCCATATCATGGAAGTAATTTTGGAAAAACCCAATAAATATTCTGTATGTAACCCTATTTCTCTTACAGATAATGGAGAGCAAGTCCTGGTTGATATAGAAGAGAAGACCAATAGAGAGATAGCAGACCATATTAAGAAAATTCTTGGTAAAAGCGAGTAAGTCAAAATAACTAAGGTTATCAGGGATTAGGCTTCAGTTCTGACTGTATGGGAAAGCACTAGGTCACGGTGTCAAACTCACATCGTCACATCACATGACATATTGCAACTTTTCTCCCCTTCACTAAACCGGAGTGGGCGTGGCCAGTGCGTGATGCATCTGGACTGCGAATTTCACACCCCTGAACTAGGTCTGTTTATAAAACATACTATATAAGTGAAAACTTTTCTATTTACTCATTTATGGAAAGGCAGCAAAGTTTCCTGTCCAGCATTATTTTTGATAGAAGACGGCATTACCTTTCATCAGTAGGCCTTCAGAAGTTTATTATTCAATATCAAAGTTAATGGGAAGCCTAATTGCTGCCATATATAAAGAGAATTTTCCAAATTTGGGAAATATCCAGGGCAAGTAACTGTAAAAACAAGTGCATCACATTATTCTTAGTTCTAGGAAAATACATCTCTCCAATGTTAGTGGTTGATTTAGGATAGTGCCGGAGGCCACTAATTCCCCATTACCTCTAGGGATGCTCCTCTCTGGGCAGATTGTATCAAATGGGACATACGATACAGGAAATGATTGCTTTACATTACTATGAGAAAAACTGGATTTCACCCAAATTATATAATTTCCTCTAAATTTATTTGGGAAATAGATAAGTATAAAGTATTGCTGTCATTCTTTAATAAATGATATAGCAAGTGCACTTAGACTGATATGTCGCTTCACAGTGCTTTACAGCCCTCACAGTGCTCTACGGAGTCAGCATGTTGCCCCCAACAATTTGGGTTCTAATTTTACGGACCTCATGGAAGGATGGAAGGCTGAGTCAACCTTGAGCCTGGTGGGATTTGAACTTCCAAATTGCAGGCAGCCGGCAATCAGCATTCTAATAGAATACACTTCATCTTTCATTAGAATTCAACTTGTTAAAAATATTCACAAATGTGACATGCTGCACACTGAATTTCACTTGCTGTCTTCCTTACCATAAAATCATCTTTTTAATAGAGAAACAATCCAGATAGAAGAAGAGAAAAAGAGGAAATGGCATCCTGCAACATTTGGTAACAAAAAATACCACTTACGGGAATGTATGTGTGAAATTGACGGCCAGATTTCCTGTCCTGGTAAAGTGCCACTACCGAAAGAGATGACCGGCAAATATAAAAATGCCATGAAAGACAGTTCCTAAGCCACTTTTGCACCAAGCTTCTCCACAAGGAAGTAAAGATCGCAGAGAAATAAGAAACTGATTAGTGGCATGATGAAGATATATTGTTGTATGAGACTTACGCCAGGGAAATAGATGGTCTTAATTCTTTCACTGCTATACACTAAATAGTAAATGTTTTATAAATGCTTTTTTTAAAAAAATTAAAGAGCAAGTATTGGGTCATATTGATCATAATGTCAGTTTTAATTTTCTATTATTTGAAGGGCAATTGTCTTGGGAAAACAGCTTGGATCCTTATATAAATGCAGTTCTATAGGAACAGAGAAAACAGTTGTAATATGGAGCGCTGGTTCCTTTTCCAAAAGTTGCTTTATAGACTATCCATTTTATAAGCCTACAAATGTTGATCATGAATTAAGGGCTGAAATAGTTGTAATTCTACGTCTGTGATTTGTGGCATTTTTTGCTTCAGTGGTTACAAATAGCATTTCAATCTGTTTCGTCTTTCTATAATGATGCAAGTTCAAGCTATCTACTTGATTTAAAATTATTTAATATGATATAGAAGTAGTTAGCTGAAAGATACTGAAGTGAGAGAGTGGTGACAGAGCCTTGGGAGAAGTCATTGGCCTGTTCCACAACCAGCTTGGTCAGGGTCAACTTTTAAGAACTGCTAAGGGCCAGATGATTTTTACTATGTCCTGATACCTCTGACTGAGATATATAGAACTCTACATACTTTTTCACATGACTTGTAATCTAGGAATTAAGTACCACCTTTCCCCCCCATAGGAAAACATGTGGGAATATGGCTATGGTGAAATTTATTTCTGATCATTTTTTTTCCCTTTGGTTGAGAAAAGAAACACAATTTACTGTTTGCCCCATCGCCATATCTATTTTTAATTATTTTCTGAATTGTCTTATTTTACATTTTAAAAGTATAACTGTTGCTCAAGTGATTAAATCAGGTATTTGAAAACACTTATTAGCAAGCATCAGCTATTTAGATAGGAAAAGCTATTTATTACTTACCGTGTGTATATACTGAGGCTTTCATGGAAATCAAAACTGTACCAACTGCATAAAAGGAAATTGTATCTAATGCCCTAAACAACCCAGGATTTTACTTACACTGAAGCCAAGAGTTGAGAATAAAGTAAAATTTTGACTTTTAAGAAGCCTCAATAATTTTAAAGCAAGGAAAAAGATGAGTCCTGCAGTGCAGATTGTTTCTTGCTTTCTTGGTTCAAATGGTACATTTCAAGAGATTTTTTTAAAAACCAAAGACCATATATCTGTCTCTACACTATGTAGTTCTCTACATTTCACCATGGTGCATACTTTTTCCTACACAAGACTTGGATTGAAAGATTATTCACCTTATTTTAAATATCCTGTTCCAGAGAAGTAGTTTTTCTTCCTATCTGCCATTTCTCATTTTATTTGAACTAAAGAAAGTATTTTGGTGCAAAACACAGAGATTAAATTCCATATTCCAATAGGATCCTATTATCTAGTAGATCATAACAGATCATAACAGCTAATCAGAGTTGGAAGGGACCTTATAGGTCATCTAGTCCAACCCCCCACCCAAGCGGGAGACCCTACACCGTTTCTGACAAATGGCAGAAATCCTTAGAATCTTTTCAGTAGATCAGCTTGGAAAAGACTCCCGTCTAAACAATGTTTTCTTGCACAAATTGCCTAGCTCGGTGTAAAAATGCTTCCTACGTTCTGTTCATTAAGATACCAAGGAATTTGCAGTTCACACGAAAGACTAGATTGCTACTGCTGTTGATGTAATCAGTTTTTCCACACTCACAGAAATAAAAATGGTGTTTTATTTCATGAGAAACTTTACAAACTAGTGCATGCAAATGTACAAACAAATGGTATTAGTGTTAAATCTCATAATGGCATGGTCTTGTTCATTTTCATTGTGTCAATTCAGTAGTACAAACGGAATGCTGACAAAATGTGGAACAACCATTTGGGTTATCAAGGGTAATTCCACATTGACTTGCAGTTATAGAGCTACAACCAACATATTTTTAATAAAATACATCAATATTGTGTCTTATAAAGTATTAGACTATGGCATACATAGACAAAAGGCAGAATGCATATAAGGAAATGAGGTTTTTTTTAAAAAGCCACTGAAACATTCATATTGGTTGGACTACATAAAGAGTGACAGATCAAGTTTGTGGCCTTCTCTTTAATAAATATAGCTTTACCTTAAACAATTATTGTGCCTTGCTTAGTTTGTAGGTTTCCATTTTTAAAAATATTTTATCACCTATTTTTATGTTCCAACTCATCTCCTGTTTAGTGCATTCTAAGTTCATTTCCAGAATGCTCCCATTAAAAAAAAAATCAAAACAAGTATCCTTAGGCTGTTATATAATTGGACGGGCAGTTTTCAGCTCAGTTTCTATAGGATTCATTAAAACAGGCTGTCGCTGAGTTGTGATGCATGAAATCAAAGCTAGGTAGTTTTTCCTTGCTAACAATGGAAAAAAAAAAAACCACGAATACCATGAATTAACAAATGAATAACATGTAATACTTAATACTGAAAGTATAAAGTGCTGCCTTAGTTCTTGACCCTATTAACCACTAACCTTTTGAGGAATGTAACATTTAGTGTCCACATACATTGTGTACAGTATCATTTCTACCAGCATGGAAACAATTGTCAAAATCAGATTAAGGATTAATGCTTGGGCCTTCTTCCCATTCCCCTAAGTACATAATACTCTCCGAGTAAGTTCTTCCGGTGTAAACAATTAAAATTGGTTTACGACACCAAAATAATAAAATGCAACCAAATAAAATTCATCCCGTACAACTGAAATCAGACATTATTTAACACTTCTAAACATTTCTGTTCGTAGCTGGCAGATCAATTAAAAAGAAAAAAAGATTTACAAATGAACAGCTCAACCCTAAGAATTTGATAGCCTCCATTTAATATAACAGGGCTCGCACAAATCATCCAAACAATAAATGGAGGTGGTATATCAACGTTGTCCTAGAGAGAAATCAAATTAGAAAGAAAAATGGACTTCTAGTTTTTAATTTATACTCTTAAGTGGACACCCAGGATGGTTCCTCTCAAAGCACAGTTCTGACTGCAAATTTTCTAATTTTTGGAGGCAGAAAACAATTTTCCTATTATGACATTTCTACAAGCCTGGAAAATTATGTAGTTTTGAGACACTGACAATTTCAACGTTCTTACAAAATTAGTCTAGAATTGGCTGGGAAAAATTATTAGAATAGTTTGATCAGTTGAAGAACAGATAAAGGAAAAAAATACATGATGTCTAGTTAGGTTTTATGCATTTGTTTTCTAAAACATATACATATGTTTTGAGACATATATGTTGCTTTACCAATGAATTCTATTGAACAGTAAGTTATTTTCTCTCTTCTGCTTCCCCAAAATATAAAGTTAGTAGGAAAACTGAGAATTTGCAAGACAGTATTAATTCCTTTTAGCTGGGCTGTGCAAGATTCAAGAACGATTTTAAAGAAATGCTTTGAGCTCATGAGAGCACCACATTTCTTTGAAAACAGTAAAAGCTTTTCCAGGTTGCTGCACAAGTTGCTTCTGTCTTAGGAAGCAAAGATGTGGTTTCAAGCAATTTTTTTTTTTTTTGAAGCACATACAATCCTACCTGGTGACAGAAAATAAATTCAGAAGTCTTGAGAACTGCAAATAATTTCCTGCATTTTAAAATGTCAGTTTTCCCCCTTTTTACATCAGAGATAAAGCATGTGCTGAGAAATATAATTATGCTCCTAAATTTGGGCTGGGATACAAATACAGACTTTTCAGTATTTGAAGAACAGTTTCCGGTAATTATAAATTTTAAATAGTGTTGGCTTTTACAGATCTGAATAGTGGAAATCCCTATACCAAAGTCCCTAAGCTTGATTCAGCACCCAAGTAAGTGCCTTTTGCGATGTATTTCTTCTTTTACCTCGATCTTCTCTCCCTTTGGGAACTGTAAAAGTATGTGGACATAGTTCAGCAGCTCGATTTCTTCTTCTGTTTTGCAAGGGTGCTCTTAAGTTCTTTCAAATTCTCAGTCAATACTTCTATCTCATCCATTCGTCCACTTTGTTTGGCATCAAAAATATATGCTTTGATATTATCGATCTGTTGGAGAAGCAATTCCTCCTCTATGATATCTTCCCCCGAAACTTCATGATCACTTTCAACTTCAAAAGGATTCAAAGAGGAAGACACTGATTCTTCAAATGGATTCCCAGATTCCGGGTTACCCACAGGGGTATAAAATGGATTTCCCGCAGAATCTTCAAATGGGTTTGGAGCACTGAGATCTACCCCGTTTGCCTGCTGAGAATCTTCCTGTTCCTCCTCTTCATCAAATGGATTGTACTCTCTTTCATAACTCTGCAGGGCATTGGTAGGCAAAGAAGCTATTGCAGTGTTTTCAGCAACAGGACTATCAGGGTCGCTCTTTGGAGGGCTAATTAGTGAAGGATCTTCAAAAGGATTTATGGAGGCTTTTTCATGCTCTGAGGCATTCACAGGTTGGCAAACCAAAACCAGATTCTGGCTACCTGGCAATCCAACACCATCACTGGGGAAAGCAGCCGTGGAGCCAGCGTAATCTTTGTCCTGAAGCGTATCTAGATCCAAAGCCTCTGCTATTTGGTTTATGCTTTCCCTCTCCATCTCAGGTTTATCGGGCTTCACTTCTCTGAAATCCAGAGAACGTGTCCGTGAATGTTGAGACATCTTTTTTTTATGATCCCTTTTCCACTCTTCTTCACAAAGGATCTGCAATTGTTCTCTCTGCATTTCCTCCATCTCCGCTTGCTTTTTAGAGAGCTCAATGGCTTTGACCGTCTGCTGTTGGTCGTACTCGTCCTGAAGCTGTCGCAGGTTCTCCTGCAGCATCTGGACTTCGTCCAGACGGTTGGCTTCCTTCGCCTGCTTAATAAATGAGGTGATATTGTCGATCTGTTGAAGAAGTGGATCTGCCAGTTCCTGGTTCCGAGATATGCTAGCAGTGGGTAGCCATCCTTCAGTTTTCTTCACTGCAACCCTTTTTGTTCGATGGACCTCACCATTGGATGTTGCTAAGGATCTGGAAGTGTAGTCTGCCGGTCTCTCTTCTTGTCGTCTCTGGGATTCATATTTCACCTAGCCCAAAAGAAAGGAAAACGTTAAAAGGAGTCCACATTTTATTGAGCAGTCCACACTTCAGCAACTTCCTCAGTTTTTAGCATGATACGTGAGCCTAAAAAGGCAACTGTATTGGTGGAAAGGGGTCTTCTTTTTTTCTGAGTTTTTTCCCCTCCAACTCAAAAAAATAGAATCTTTAAACTGATGGATTATGTAAGATTATTATGGTATTAATAATAATATTTTTTAAATTTTTTAACTGTTCATCTGTCCCTCAACTGTTCATGTCCACAATGATCTAAATCGTATTTAACAGAAACAATTTCCTGTTAAATAAGTTTCAAATGTTTTAGAGTGGAAGATAAGCTGAATCAGCAAGTAAAGGTTACACTTCTACATATGTGGTAAAGAGCCATGCTCTAGCAAGTTTTATTCTTTTATTCTCTCCTGTAATGACTGCAACTCTTTCTATCTTCCTGCCACTTTGATAGATCTCAAAGAACTGTACTCTGCCATAGAATGATCAGCAGTCTATTAACTCAAAGAGAGATTAGATCAGAAGTCACCTATCCAATCACTTTTAGTATGTATTGCATTTGGATGTATCACATGTGATTATTTCAATAAGATAAAATATATTTATGAGTCTAAACTAACAACAAACTAAAGCAACATAAAGATAGTGAAACAAAACAAAAATTTGAGAGCAAAGCAGATTTTTCTCTTGGCTAAAATATTTTTTGAAAACTTATGTAAATTTCTAAGAGATGTCATCCCCACCCAAAAATCAAAAAAGGCAAGAAAGAAATGAGTCAAACAAGAAATAGGGGAAAAAAATCATTCTTATTAAGCTGGTTCTAAATGTATTGTAGACTTATATCACGCTACTTGGCAATTGTTTTAGAAAACAAATTCAAAAGTAAAGTATTTCAGAAAGGAAATACTTGAAACAGTGAACAAACAGAAACTCATTGTTAGAAACATATATTGATTAAACTACTTGCCAGT